TAGGTATAAAGGCTACCTTATTTTATTTTCCCTAGGCTAGCATGCTGTAAATATTTTTTACTAAAAGCTTATAGTTTATATAAAAAAAGTTACTTATATAGCTAAAGTAAAAGTTATTTACATAGCTAAAGCATAAAATTAGGTTTACTAGTAATAGTTTAGTAATATATAGTAGGAATAATATTAAAAAAAAAGGCAAGCCTTATAGTATACTATAATATACTAGGTATATTATTATTATAATAAATTTTAGGCGTACTTTTATATTTTATTTATTAAAAAAGCTTATAATTAAGGCTAAAAGCGCGCAAGGCCAGCCTTACTTTACTATTTATTAAAGCAAGTATTATAATAAAATAGTATTAAAAGCACCTAAAATATTTATAATAATTATAATAACCTTCTGGTTTTATAAAAGTGTTATTTTTATATTATAAGTAAAAAAGGCTACTAAGTCCATGGCTAAGTACTTAGGTAAAGTACTATACTACTAGGGGCTTAGTACTTTTTATACTAATATAATAAAAGTAATATAGCGCGTTATAATTTATTTAAGTCCCTTTTTTAATACTAAAAATAGTGCTATAGGGCGCCAGGATTAAGATAAGAACTTATTTTTTTTACTATTTTTTAAAAGTATTACTACCTTTATAAGTTTTTATAGTAAAAAAAAGTATCCTAGTTATAGGTATTAGTTATATAGCCTATATATAGCCTGCTTAATATATTTTTAGCAGGCTTTTAAAATATAAACTATTACCTAGTCTGCTTTAGGAAAAGTATTACTTATATTAATAGTATTTTTTTTAACCTTTTTTAACAAGATTTTTTTTAGCTAATAAAGGTATTTATTACCTTGCTAGTGTTCCAGTATTAAAAAATTAAAGTTTAAATTATTATTTATATTAAAATATTTTAATATTATTTTTTATAAAATATTAGCCTTTTCCCGCGTGTTTTTAATTATTTTATTATTTATTAATAATAGGGGAGTTTTAAGCCTGGGCTTTAATTTATACTATATTATTATTTAATATAGTTTTTAATTATTTTTAATATTATTAATTATTTTAGTTTAATACGCGCGCTTGGTTTTATAAATTATGGCTAAAAACTACTTTTTTTATTTTAAGGTAGGGTTTTTTACCTAGGCTTAGTAATTTTCCACGCACTTAATTAACTACTAGGGGGTACTATAGCTTTTTAGGTTAAGGTATTTATTAACTACTTATATGGCTTTTATAATAGTATTACTAAGGGATTTAATATATTAATTTAGTGTTTTTATATTCCCTAGTTCCCCGGGTTAGGAAAAAAATATTATTTTATTTTTTATAAGCCTAGCTAAATACTTAAGCTTATAATTTAATATATTATAATAATATTATTTTAGTATTTTTTTTCCACGCCCTGGCACTATAATAACTAAAGTTTAATAATTAAAGTTATTATATAATTTAAATATTACTAGCGTGCGGGTAAATAAAATATTTAAAAAAATTAAGTTAAAAATATATTTAGCCTTATACATGGCCACGCCTAGTTTACTAATATAATTAATATTATTATTACTAGCTTATTAAGTAATCTTACTACCGCGGTGTAAGTTATTTACTTTAAGCTTAAAAGTATTATATATAATATTAAAATCCCTGCTTATTATATAGTTTAGGGTAAGAATTAGTATAACTAGGTAGTTAATTATTTTATAGGTAATTAGCTTTTAATATATATTTAAAACCTTAATACTATTTATTATAAGCTATAATATATTCTAGCTTTATACTAGGTAGTGTTATTTAATATATAATACTTTTTTTTTATAAATATAAATAAGTACCCTAGGGCGTTTTTTTAGCTAGTTTTTATAATTATTTTAGGTATTTACTAATATATAATACTTATATACTAAATAATTTTAGGTTTTTATACCTATAGCGGTCCAGGGCTTTTAAATATAAGTAATATTATAATCTTACTTATAGGCTAGCTATAAAATTATAATATAATTAAGTATAAATTTACCTATATTTACCTAGTAAATAATAAGATCCTGCTATTACTAAATATTATTATAATAATAATTATTATGGTTTTTTTTTAATACTTTATTATTAAAGCTTAAAGGGGGATTTAGTATTAACCTTTATTACTTAAGGTAAAAAAGGCGTGCCCGCGTTAGCTAGGGTAAGTTAAATTAATTTAGTAAAAAATTACCTAAAATTCTAGTTTTTAGTAAAAGGATTAAACCACAGGGTGTAATAGTTAGTAATTATTATAAAGCCTTATTTATTTATTTTAGGTTTTTTTATAGCATGCTTTTAGGGATTTTTTTAGGGTAAAAATTATTTAGTTTTAGCCTAAAGCTAGGTATTAATATTAACTTAAATATATATATTTTAATACTAGCAGGCGCTATAGCAACACATGCTATTAAATTTCTTTTTAAATAAATAAATTAAAGTTTTATTTTTACGCCTAGGGGTTATTAGGCAGTTATTATACCTTATTAGTTATAAATTTAGGTAATTTATATAACACGCAGGGTTTTTATAATTAGGGCTAATAAAACCTAGGTAATTTATAGCTATTATACTATATTATATATAATATATTATATAATTATATTATACTAGGTAGTAATATTTTTAGTAGCTAGGGTTATATTAAAAAACTAGCTAGTATTTTTTAATAAGCTAGTAATACTTACTTTAATTAAATAAAGTAAAGGCCTTGGGCTGCTTTAAAAAAAATATTACTTAAGTAATTTACCTAGTATTAAGGTTAGGCTTATACCTTAAAAAAGCAAGCCTAACTAGCTTTAGTTTTATTTAAGCTATAACTTTATTTTAAATTAGCTTAATAATATTTATTTTATTATTATTATATACTTTAATAATATTAAGCACCCCTTACACTGCGTAATTATATTATTTTTAAAAAATATATATATTAATAACGCCTAGGGTGTAGTATATTATATTAATTATTTTATTAATTATTAAAAGGTTTTTAATAAAAAAATTATTAAAAATAATAGCCTAGCCTATATAAATAATATTAATTTTAAAAATAGCTATAGTTATAATTAGTCCTGGTATATACTTAGTAAAAGCTTGCTAAATAATATATATTTTTAAGCATGTTATTAGCTTATTATTAAAAAGGGTAATTAACATCTTATAATTATTATATATAGTTAAGGCTATAATAAAGTTACTACGCGCTAATTAAGCTATTAAAATACTTAACTTAATAATTAAGGGTGCCTTGCCCAAGGTAGTGTTAGTTAGGGTAAAAAAACCTACTTTAAAAGGGGTAGGCTAAGCCCTTAAGTTTTTAGGGGTTAAACTTATTTCCCCCTAAGTAATAATTTTATTAAAGGTTATTATAATAGCAGGTTAATTATATATATATAAAAAAATATAATTAATATTATTAATATTAATATAGCCCTTTAAAAAAATAAAATATATAAACTTATTATAAATATTATAAATAAAGGCTTTTTAATCCTAAGTTTTTTACCTAGTAATAAAGTTATTAATAATAATTATAAAGCCTATAAAAACTTTATACTTAATTTATACTTAGTATTTTTATTTATTAAGCTAATTATAAAGGGCTTTTATAACCAGGCCAGGCTAAAAAGTTAACATGCTATTATTTTTAATAATAAAAAAAAAAAAATAGGCTTGCTAGGGCCTTTTTTTTTTTACTTTTTTATAATATAAAGGTTAAAGGGGAATAAAAAATTTTATAGCCATGTAAAGTTAGCTAAGTTAATATTTATAAGCTAGTTAGGGGTACATACCTTAATTTTAGCTATTATACCGCGGGAAGTAATAAAAAAGGAAAAAAAAAGTTAAAAATAAAATTAGGATAGTAAAAATATATATTTATAATAATTTTAAAGCATCTAGAGCCCTTATTTAAAGGTACCCCTAGATCACTAAGAGTTGTAAAGGTGTGAGTGGTTAGCAAGAACAGCTGGAGGGAGCATTCAAACGCAGCTAGGGATCCATGGGGTCTTTATATGCGGATCTGACGAGCTCAAGGTGAGATGGTTTCTTTGTTAGCGAGTACAATGGGGTTGTTTGGACTTCTTTGTCGGAAGCCTGTTGAAAGCGTCTTTCGTGTTGTTCAAACATGGAGACTTTGCCTGTCATCAATAGCATGACCGGTGAATGGGAGACAATGGTCTTTGTGCGATAAGCTGAACATCTCCTTTGTCCTCATTGGGCACCACTCATTCACATACCCTACTCCGAGCGCAGAAGATTGCACTATTTGGTTGTACCAATGTCATATCATCATCCGCCTTGCCGGGATCCCCCCTGCATTCAGCACCTAAGCATAGGGCTAGCATGAAACCACGTCCCTTGAACCGTCCGCGTTATATCATTTTTGATAATTCTTGCGAAAACAAGTATCTCCACCCATATTTCTCCACGGTGAGATTCCTAGTCTCTAGTATAGCTGTCGCATCACTGACAGGGGGATCCAAGCCCTAGCTTCTTTCTAGCTGCATCATTTTAGGGCCACTCGGTCGATCTTGACAGGGCAGTATCATCGTATGGTCTGTCTTGGACATTGTGCAATAACGGTGGGACAAGCCCGGTATAACGGGTTAATTGCGCTGGGTCGAGGGACAGACGCCGTGAGAAGGATAAATGCTGTCCAGTAACAAGGTAATAATGGGTGAAAGGCTGAAAAAAATGAATGCTGCGGTCAGAAAACAAGCCATCTAGGTAGGGCAGGGTACAATGGGTACCATGTATCCAACACCATGAGAGCATGTATTGTCAGCTTGGCTTTATCATGGGCCCTGGGCGGTACATATCAAGCTTTCCATCTCCAATAAACAATTTGTAGGGTGCAACATCAAGCAAACGTTGAAATCAACAAGACCAAAATCCCCAACATAACACGTTACACCCCCATTCAACGGTCAACCCATCTATCACTGCCCGCACAGCCTACCCAAACTAGGTACCCCTCTAAACCAACGGGAAAACAAACCACCCGCCATTGGTACTCTTACACTCATAATCAATCCCCCCGATTTGCCCCTCATACGGCCCACACTGGTACTTCGGCCCCGAGACAATCTCCCCCGAGACAGTCCCATTCGGACCAACGAGGGTAAGCCCGTAGTTCTGGAGCGTCTGGATGCCAGACGGGAAGTAAAAGGAGAAAGCGTCGTAGGCACAGGGCTGGGGGTTCTCCGGGCCGGCGGGGACAGAGGGGTTCCTGGGAGGGTTATGAGATTAGATTGAGCGGGATGGAGGAGGAGGGCGCTGCGTACCAGGCCGTCTGGCAGGTTGTCGAGAAATGCGGGTCTCCGTTGTCGAAGTAGTTTGTTGCCGTGAACTGGAAGTTGTACGTGTTGCTCTCGGTTAGATGGCGGAGGGAGATGAAGGAGATGGTGTAGGGGTGTCCGGCGTCTTGTCGCTTGGTGGGACTGGGCTGGGTGGTTGGGGCGGCGAGGGCGCTCACGGCGGAGAGGGCGATGGCGGCGAGGGTGGCTTTCATTTTGATGGGAGTGGTGTAGCTTGACAAGGTTGAACAAGGCAAAGAGTGTCTAGACTCTGATGGGAATGGGATTGTATGGAATGGTGTGCTGTGATGCTGCCTGTGAAAGATCCATCACAAAGATGGCAGTCTTTATATACCATTTCTACTCTTCCCATGACAACGTGACTCTTTAACAGGAATACCATGTCTCATACCTGTCTCTCAGATGCCTCGCAAGCTCACCTCAGACTGACTGAATCCCGGTATGATTGGATCGCACGTAAAACACCTGCCACGTTTTCAACGAATAGGAATGTATCGCTGCTGCTGACAGCCACAGCTGTCTCACCAGCTCAATACTGTCAAATCAAACACGGCTGTGGCTATGTACATGATCGCCAATGACCGATCGTAGGCGGAACTTTAAGCTTGCGAAGCCGTCGATCATCCCGATTCCGGGGGTTAGCGGGTACGGTAGGCTACTATTTAGGGCTCCGGCTGCGCCTCAACCCAGCGCAGGAAGTTGCTTATTCCAGCTAGCTAGCTTACGGCATGACGGGATGAGACACGTCCAGAGAGATTCTCTAGTTCTATTCATAGCGCCCTCGCGGTCAGTTGATGCGGCAGTACCTCACGCGGAGGAAACGGTAGCATCTGGCATGTCCATTTTCCCCAATGTTGAGGCTCCACGCTTGCGACAGTCAATTTATGTCGGTTTGCTTACATTTCTGCTGCTGGTAGCTCTATATTTAGGGTTAAGAGGTTGAGATCAATCGCGGCCGAGTGAATGTTTCAGCTAGAGTCCTGTCCATGCCCGAGCGCAACCCGCAAGACTCGCGCAGACGCGAATTGGCGATGAATGGCCGGCTGTTAACATGATTTAACTTGCTCCTGGTAGATCTTTCTCTTTCCGCAATGGGGTCGCTGTGAGAGATTCCATCTACGACGGTCGGAAGCCACTCTGCAAGTCAACTCTCGCTAGTTTGTGCCGGCAAATCTCGGTTTGGGCAGGTGGCTAATTAGTTGTCGTACCTAGTTTGTGTCCAAAAAAATACGTACTTTGAGGAAACAGTCGTTCTGCTTCACCTTTCCAAATACTCTAAGCCCTAACAGGCGGATGCCTTGCTAGGCTGGGCGTGGTGGCCGTTCGTATGGCAGTGGTACCCTAGGTAGCTTCCAGGGAGCTCTTCCAAGCTAAGAAGAACCTGCCCAGTTCGCGTATCTACAGCATTCAGGTAATGGTACCCATATGGATTCCGGTGCGGGATCACCGACCCGACGCACTGGCCGTACCTCCAACTACATAGGCGTGTTCGGATTCCCCGCCACGTTCCAAAGTAGATAAATTCCGTAGATACCGCGGGGTAATAGATATAATCACAAAAAGCGTTCTACCTCGTTTCCCTTCCAAACAAACACCATGACTTCCCCAAACGGCCACCCCTACCTCCTGAACCCCTCCGCACCCCCAAGCTTCACCCGCTACCCTCACGCCCGGCTGGTTTCCCCCTCCCAAAAGACAACAATCTACATCTCCGGGATCGCCCCCGTAACCCCCGATGGCCAACTCGAAGGCGTAACAACCAACCCCGACGGAACATGGAGCGCAGACATCCGCGTCCAAACAGCCGCCGTGCTACGACGCATCGGGGAGATCATACACGGCGCGAGTGGCGGAAAAGCAGATCTACATAATGTTGTTGATGCGGTTGTGTACCTCACAGATACGAAGAGTCAATATTCCGGAATGAACGAGGAGTGGAATAAGGTGTGGAGGGACCGGGAATCTGCGCCTGCCCGGGCGACGGTTGGAGTGAGGGAGTTGCCGGATGAGAGGTTTCTGGTTGAGGTTAAGGCGACGGCAATTTTCTAGGGAGAGGTCAGGGTTATGGATGAGGTGTATGGTGGTGTTCATGTTGTTGTGGTTGGGTTGTCTGATGTGCATTGAAGAATGATTTTATATAACCGCTCTACGGCATGCCCACAGCAAAATGTTGACAGAACCCTCTTTATTCTGACATCGTACCAACTTTCTAGAAAACCTAGAAGATCACCCGAGCGATCCCAAAGCATATCGAGAGACGACGGAATACTATGAACTTTCCAACTTCACCTTCACAAACAGCACAACCCCACCGTCTCAGGCCAGATCGAATACAGGGACTGTGTACAAGTAAATACCCATCAATGCGGCCATTGCCCAGAGTATGCGGGGAAAGATACGGACAGCATCAGCCAAGGTCAATCAGTCCAATCGCCGACGGTGGGGAAGCGACAGGGGAGTGCAGCCTTATCTCTGCAGGATTCAATGATAACCAACACTTCCCCTCACCTGAATTTCATCTCGACATCCTTCCCATCACCAAATCATCATGTTGGAGACCACCAATCCTCGAGGCAAAGCTGAAGTATCGTGCCAGCGATGTTATCGCCGGAAAAAGCGCTGCGACAAGATGCTCCCTGAGTGTAATGGATGCCGCAAAGCGAATGTCCTCTGCAGTTTCCCGCAGGATAGTCTCCAAGAAGCTTCGTTCTCGATTGAGTGCGTTAGCTTCCTCTTCCTGTGTTACCAATACAATGTGCTGAACTCTCTGCATAGATATGTCCGGGGCCTGGAACGCCGTGTTGCGGAACTTGAACAGCAGCTGGCCGTCGCGACGGCGACGACGACAGCGTCGTCGCCAACTGCATCGAGCAAAAGTAACAGTCCAGAGGAACGCGATAGCGCTCAACAAGTGCCGATCAATATCACTACACCCCCGACAATGCCTGATGTGATCGGCCATATAGAACCAGTCGCAAGCGGAACCCCAGTTACTCGCACCCGACGATCCACCTCGCTAGCTGACGGGCTCAAGATGCTATCTCTCGAAGCAACAGCGGAGCGATACGTTGGTTCGTCATCAGGTGTCGCCTTTGCAAAGCTCACGCAGACCGTGTTGCGCAGACTATCGCCGGACCAGGACGCTTTCGTGTTTGGGGACGGGGATGCGCTGCAGGGGGGGCCTGGTGAGGAGGACTTGATGCCCACATTCGATGACACACTGGACTTCCTAGACCTTGATATGATGCTCGATTCTCCACAGCATCTAACGTCGCTGCCCGTCGATCCCACCCTGCAAGGAAGCGACAACCCATTGGACCTGTCACAGCTGGACGCCGGCCACATCAGCTTCCTGCTCGATTTTTACTTTGCACATTCTCACACTTTATATCCCATTATCCAACAGCAGTGCTTCATTGAAACGCTCTGGGCAGCGTACGCTGATCCACTATGCGCTCTTACTTTATCGCCCCTCTGGCAGTTTCGCATCTGGATGGTCCTGGCTATTGGGTCGACCACGTACTGCTCCGTCACATTGATGGACGAGACCGAGTCAATTCAACTGTTTAACAAGGCGATGTCTTACTTTGAGGCTGCGATGGGATGTGGTGACTTGGTACGTGCTTCAACATACCTAGGTAATCTAGGTCTATAGTAGTTACGGTGCTCATGCGCTTGCAGCCGGCTTTGGAGGTTCTAATGCTTCAGGTGTCATATTCCTTTTTCAATAGCGCGGGACCAAGTGAGCTACTACCGTTCAGCTTATCCTTGCACTTATGCTAATAGTGTTAGATACATGGTTCTTGGTCGGTGTTGCTGCCCGCATGGCTATTGGAATGGGGCTACACACACGTGAAGTCTACGAGACACTTACACCGGATAACGCCGACTATCAGAAAAGACTGTTCTTCTCGCTTTACATGATGGATCGGTAGGCTTACCAAACCCGATGACCAAGTTATACGCTGAACATGACTTACAACAGGGTGGTGTCGATGGCGCTAGGCCGTCCGTTCGCTATCCGGGATGAGGACATCACGGCCGAGGTAAACACCGCAATAATTGCCCTATCTCAACTTGCTTACCTTCGTTTAGCCCTTTGCCGACGCGGACGATGAGAACATCACACCTGTCGGCATCATCCCAACAGCCAAGCTGGAACCCACTAGCATGGCAGTGCCGCTGCACATCCTCGAGCTTCGAAGGATAGCAAGCGCCATTGGAACAAGTTTGCATTCCGGCCAGCGTCATTCGAACAGCAACTTACCAGCTGCACAAGCAACAAGGGAAGGTCTCCACAAACGCCTCATTCAATGGCGTCGTAGCATGCCCTTCCCCCTACCGGATTGCAAGTCAAAGGTTCCTCATCTGTGTACGAGCTGGTTTGACCTTAACTACTATACTCATCTCATCACCCTGTATCGACCCTCGGCGTGTCAGACAGTTCTGGACGTGAGTAGCATGGAAATCCTAGCCGAGTCTTCTGGGATGGCCATTCGCGAGGCCAACAATCTCTACCGGCAGCAGCGGTTTGCATTTAACTGGCTCAACCTGATGACTGTCTTTAATGCAGCCCTCTCGCTAATGTATTCCACAACTGCACAGCCCGATACAGTGCCCTTCGAACTTGAAAAGACGAGGGCAATTGAGGATCTGGAGTTGGTAATGGGTATGCTGGAACAGTTTTGCAGAAAGTTTCCGTCGGCTGGCCAGATTCAGAATATGGTGCGGACGGTGTTGGACAGGCTGCGGTCGCACTCTGGTGATATACTGAGCAGATAGTCTTATCAGTGGGGGATGGGGTAACTGGGTACATCTGTAGGTTGGAGACTTCGGACTGTCCGACATCTATCATATCATGCCCTTCTCCAAATCTTCCATCAAAGGCACAACAAGATTTGCCAAACTCCATCTGATATAGACCATTTGATCAACTACTTAAATACCAATCCTGCAGCAGTGTCAGCAACAGAACAGCATCACGGCATCACCATGAAGATCGACCACGACATCACGGCACACCTTGCCGCCCTCCCAGGCTCCGCAGCCCTCCTCCTCATACCACTGATCTACCTCCTCTACAAATACACCTGGGCCACCGACATCCCGCACATCAAAAACCTCCCCTCCATCCCCGGCGCCGTCCCAATCTTCGGCCACCTCCTCAAGCTCGGCGACGACCACGCCTCCGTCTGCGAGCGCTGGTGGCGCAAGTACAGCCACTCCGTCTTCCAAATAAAACTCGGCAACACGCGCGCAGTGGTCGTAAACTCCTTCACCGACTGCCGCAGAATGCTCCTCTCGCACCAAAACGCCCTGATCGACCGTCCAAAGCTCTATACCTTCCACGGCGTCATCTCCAGCACACAGGGGTACACAATCGGCTCGTCGCCTTGGGATGAGTCGTGTCGCAAGAAGCGCAAGGCTGCGGGCACTGCGCTCGGACGCCCAGCGCTCCGCAATTACCACCCCATGTTCGACCTCGAGAGTTACTGTATCGTCCGCGATCTGTTCCGCGATAGCAAGAACGGCGAGAGCGAGGTTAGCGTGCGCCCGTATCTGCAGCGGTACGCGCTCAACACGACGCTGACGCTATGCTACGGCATCCGCATGGACGAGGTCTACGACGACCTCCTCCGCGAGATCCTCCACGTCGGCTCAGCCATCTCGCTACTGCGCAGCGCGTCCGAGAACCTACAAGACTACGTCCCCCTCCTCCGGTACATCCCCAACAACGAGAAAAATGCCCGCTCGAAAGACCTCCGCCGCCGCAGAGACAAGTACCTCGATCTCCTCCTCAACCGCGTCCGCGCGATGATAAAGAAAGGCACAGACAAACCTTGCATCTCCGCCGCGATCCTCAAAGACGAAGAGACCAAGCTCTCCGGCGTCGAGGTCTCGAGTATCTGTCTCTCCCTTGTCTCCGGCGGCTTCGAGACGATTCCTGGCACGTTGACCTCGGCGCTGGGGTCGCTTTCGACGCCTGAGGGACAGGTCTGGCAGGATCGCGCGTACGAGGATATTAAGCGGTATTATCCTGATGTCCGGGATGCGTGGACCGCTGCAGTGACGGAGGAAAAGGTGCCGTACGTCAATGCGATTATCAAGGAGGCGGGGCGGTACTATACCGTCTCGTCGATGAGTCTGCCGCGCAAGACGGTCACGGAGATCCAGTGGGATGGCGCGGTGATTCCGGCGGGCACGATGGTGCTCTTCAATGCGCAGGCTGGGAATCATGGTACGCCCCCCACCCACCTGCAAGTACCCCCGTCCACCTGCAGGATACTAATGAATTCGTGGAATATAGACACAGACCACTTCGGCCCAACAGCCAACACATTCAACCCGGAGCGCTGGCTGTCAAGCCTCAACCCGCCCACGGAAATCCCATCGCAGGGCCTAGCGCATCTGAGTTTCGGAGCCGGGTCGCGCGCGTGCTCCGGGCAATTCATTGCGTCGCGGCTGCTGTACTGCGCTCTTGTGCGGCTCTTGTGCAGCTATAGGATTGTGGCTAGTGAGGAGGCGCCGCCGAATACGGACTACGTGGACTATAATGAGGTGAAGAGTGCGCTTGTGGCGATTCCGAGGGATTTTAGGGTCAAATTGATACCCAGGGATACGGAGACTACGGAGGGGTGTTTGGGATTGGCGGAGGAGAGGACGAGGGGGTATTATAAGGAGGAGTAAAAAGTAAGTTATCGGGCTTGGGCTTTCTTGTCTGAGTGCAATGTGCGGTGGTTGTGGGAGTGCAGGTGGTCGAAGTTGGGGTTTCGGAGGCTCCGATCGTGGTCCGCGAGAATGGCCTATATGTAAAGGAGACCATTGCAGCCCATGAGCAATCCAACTCTTTCCATCAAAACAGTCTCGATCATGTCTTTAGAAATCTCAACCCTCTTCAGCGTAAAAGGCCGCGTCGCCGTCGTCACAGGCGGAAGCAGCGGCATCGGCCTGATGATAGCAAAGGCACGTCCACCCAGTCCCTCCATAAACACCAAAAACCCATTCTCATACAGCCCAGGGCCTCGTGACAAACGGCGCAAACGTCTACATCGTCGCCCTCCCCACCGACCCAATAACCCCCACCGTCTCGACCCTCAACGCCCTAGCAACCCAAACCCTCTCCTCCGGCTCCGCACACGGCTACGCCTGCGATCTCTCCTCGAAAGCCGCAATCGCAAACCTAGCAGCGTACATCTCGTCCCGCGAAAACGGAACCCTCGACATCCTAGTCTCGAACGCGGGCATCCGCCGCGATCCACCGGTGCAATGTGACGTGCTGACTGCGCCGCTGTCGACGCTGCAGGAGTCCATGTTTTCACGGACAGAGGAGGACTGGGAGGATACGTTTAACATCAACACAACGGCGCATTATTTCCTGGGCGTGGCGTTCTTGCCGCTTCTTGCTCAGGCTGCTGCTGCTGGTCCGGGTGGAGATGGATCCCGATGCATGGGTGCTGGCCGCGGCGCGGAGGAAGGACGCGGGGTCATGCTTGTTATGAGTTCGTGTGCGAGCATGCATAATGTTACGAATGTGGATTTGAGCTCTTATGCGGCTAGTAAGGCGGCGACGGACCATTTGGTTAGGTTGCTGGCGGCGAAGTTTGCGAGGTGGTATGTGCGTGTTGTGGGGGTGAATCCGGGGTGTATGTTCTCGACCCTGACTCACGAGCTCTTTGGCTCTGTGGAGGGATAGGTGCCTTGCTGATGAGGGATGCAGTCGTGCCGAGTAAGATGAACCCTGTTGGGGCGGAGGGGAACATGTTCGCTGGATTGTTCGACAAGGTTCCTGCTAGGAGGGCGGGGAGGGAGGAGGATCTTGCGGGGACGGTGCTGTATCTTGTTTCGAAGGCTGGGGTGAGTTTCCTTGGAAGGTTACCTAGGTAAAAGAGCAGTCTAGGGTGATACATGGGCTAACGGAAACAGGCGTATGTGGATGGGGTGTCGCTTTGCGTAGATGGGGGGAGGGTCTTGGTTGCGAATGGGCAGGAGTGACGGGTGTGGATATAAATGTCTCCTCGGTACACTAGATGGTAGGTATGAAGTCCAGGGATATCTTTAGGTTAATTCGTTTGAGAAGAAATCATACGTGCTGCCTGTTGCAGGTTGAGCGCTTGCCGAGTGCTGTCATTGCCAGATTCTCCTTACGCCCACATACCACGTCTGCAACAAGGCAGCAGATATTATCTGAAAGAAGACGCTGTATGCGAGCCATATCGAGACTAGTTAGGTTGGAGTGTCAGTAGGTTTGACCCCTTTATACTTGTTTTGATGAGGTTATATGCATTTGGAATTTCCGAGCCCTAACCAAGCCTCCAGACACTCGATATCCCTTTGATGCCAATGAGATGGAGCTTACAGAAGCATAATCATTCCCCAGTCTTTCTAAAGCTCTTGATAAGCAGAATTGCAGTACTGGAACGCCCTGTCCTGACGATCATTCCTATCCTGGGCCGTATACCATGCATCATGGCTGTGCTAGCTCTCAACGACACCCAACGGTACATTAGCAATCTCTACCGTGGTCGGTCGTGAGAAAGCCGTACAAAAATGCTCCCACCATGGCACAGAGCAAACCTACATTAAGGTTGGAAAGCGCTTGTTCCTAACCATAATCGTCTAGTCGTTTTACAGATCGGCCATTTCTGGAGGCTTTCATGCTAGGGTAGTCAATCTTAAGCCCACTTAATCGAGAAGCGTTGAAAAGGGATGGTGATAAGATCTCCGAGAGATATCTCACCCCACCATAGACTACGTCATGGAAATCTAATGATACAGAACTAAACAGACCGCTAGGCCAGCCTGGTCATAGCCAAGGGTCAGCCGCCAATAGCAGAGAGCTGCGACGCGCGTTGGAAGCCAGGCTACCCCTCACAAGCCTCACCACTTTCACCTCCTCTCCAGGTCCATCAGGCCCCAACATGGCCTCCTCCTCCCCCTCTCTTCCCATCCAAAGCCGGCGCCTCCTCAACCTCCCCGCAGAAATCATCCTCTCCATCGCCGACACCCTCACAATCCCCGACCTAAACCGCCTCCTGCGCTCGTGCCGCCAGCTGACAACCCTCCTCCAGCCCCGCCTCCACCGCCGCGCAGCAACATACACCTTCGACGAACACGGGCGCAAAAAGTCGCCCTTGACCTGGGCATCCGAGCACGGGCGCCTCACGACCGTCGCGAACCTCCTGGACGCAGGCGCAGACGTCACGGCGACGGTGGGCGGGTTCTCGGCGCTCTACCAGGCGCTTCGAGTGGGACATACGGATGTCGCGCGCGTGCTGATTGAGGCGGGGGCCGATCCGCTGCCGAGCACGAGTAACGGGGGCGTTCCGCTGTTGCTCGCGGCGCAGCATGGCGATGAGGAGCTTGTGCGTCTGCTGCTGGGCGTGACGCCGACGAGTACGGCGGTGGAGCGGGCGAATTATGAGCATGCGGTGAGCCGGGCGATTTACTACGGGCACATCCGGCTGGTGCGGTTCATGCTTGATAATGCGACTGGGTGGCTTGATGTGGCGCGGAACGGGGACATGATATACCAGGCGGCGAGCACGGGGGACTGCGAGATGATCCGGTTGCTAATGGATTACGGGGCGACGGTTGAGCCGTTGCATCGGACGGCGAGGCATCCGTTGGTAGTTGCTGCGCAGAACGGGCATAAGGAGGCGGTGCAGTTGCTTATGGCGCTGTCGAAGGAGAAAGTTGCGCCGATGGAGCCTGTGGCCAAGGAGGAGAAGTCGCTTTCGGCGCGTCTTGTTGAGAGATTTGGGGGTGATGTCGCGCGGCCTACGAAGGATGGGGTGACGCCGCTGCAGATTGCGCTGCAGGAGTTTAGTCCGCCGGATGTGATTCACCAGCTGCTTGATTTGGGGGCTGAGCCGAGTGTACAGGGCAGGGACGGGTCGACGGCGCTCCATACGTTGGTCCGGTTGAAACGGCATGATCTTTTGGAGACTCTCATCGACGGGGCTTCGCTTGCCGCTGCCGATTACAAGGGGAACACCCCGTTGCTTCTGGCGGTGTCCGTGTTCAATGTTTCGGCCACATCGCTGTTCATCGAGTGCGGAGCAAATCTCTCAGCCAGGGACAACCACGGGCGGACGGCATTGCACATCGCGGCAACTCACTCTTCCGGCGTCATTCTCTCTATGCTGCTTAGAGCAAAGGCCGACATCAGTGCGAGGGATGACGCCGGTCGCATTCCGCTCCACTATGCCACCCTAGGACCTAACCTCCAGATCTTCAAGGCGATTCTAGCTGAGCACATATCTACCAAGGCAGATTTTATGGTCAGGTCGCAGACCGGTCGGACGGTGATGGATATGGCCGTCGAATGCGGGAATATGCACCTGCTAAACGAGCTAATTTCCAAGGGAGTCGACGTCAACACGAACTGGGAGGGTTACTCACCACTCCATGCGGCCGTCGCAAACAGACACCCCGAGGTAGTCCAGGTGCTTCTGTCCCGCGGCGCCGACCCTGTTCGACACGACTATTACGGCCAGACACCGTTTGACCTCGCGGCTGGCGATAGGTCCATGCTGGACGGGCTAGCGCAATGGTGCGATGTCCCGTATACACGGACAGACCGCGACACACGGCGCGCGATGCTAAAAGATAGCGCTGGCCGATTCGCAGCAAGAATAGCAAACGGGCAAACAGGCGACTTCTACAAGCTAGCCAAATGTCTGGTGTATCTGAAAGACGACGACGCAGCCCTCGCGGTATTCAGGCAAGCGGCCAAGATGAGGGTGTGCGAAGACGACCTCCGGTACCCCATGAGCTGCGGCGGGTGCCGGAAACGCCTGAAGAGCGCCGGGTTGTCTGAAGCGCTTGTCCTAGTTTGTCGAAGATGTCACGATCTCGACTTCAGCGACCCCTCGCCGTTCTTGGGCTTCTACTCTACCGATGCGGGCTTTTCAACCCCGTCCACGAATTCCGAGAGCAGGAACGATGAACTCTGGATCGAGCAGGTGGAGCGGATTATTGTGAAGTACTGTTAAGCTCGACTGTGCGTGCAATGGCTGCCCGTAGATTCAACGCCGGTCGGTATACAAATTACAGGACTCTGGTCTACGGGTGGCCCGGCCGCTTGGGCCATGACGTCGTGGTGTTGACCTCGTGCTCGTAAATTATCCGGAGGATCCATCACGCCGACGGGCCGATTCCGCCGCCCCCACAGACCCACCTCAGCCAGCCGCTGACTCCCGCTTAAGGTTCCAAGATTATATATAACCGCGGGCCGCCTCAATTTTCCACCATAGTACCTGCACTAACACCATCAATCACGCACAACATGCCAACGCAACGCCTCGCTCGAGCAATCGCATACATAGCAACTCCAACAATTGCCACAATATACGGAGTCCACTTAGGGCTAGCCCACCTCGAAACCATATATCCGGCATTACCCCCCGCAGCAGCAGGAAGTGAGGCGCTCCGCACGCCCGCAAAACCAAGCCAGCACTGCGCATACGTCGATATCTACGCCGCGCGAATTCCCCTGCGCGCGCTACAGGCGCAATCGCGCTGTCCAGATCCAAGATCCAATAATAAAACCGCGCTCGAAGAAGCCTGGGCGCGCTCCGTGCTCTCCTCGCAACTTCTCAGAACCGAGTCTTCGCTCATCGGCCTCTTCACCAAGGCCCACTATGACCCCGGCGACCTCGGACAAGACGGGTTTTCCCCCGACGCCAAAGACCGCCCGCGCGCCCTGCTCAACGGCGCCCTAACCGTCCAGCGCGAGCCGAGAGAAAACGGAAACGGCCTCCTCGTTTCGTGGTCAATGCCCGATGCCCCGCGTCTGTTCTTCGAGAGGATCGCGGCGTGGGGGTACCCGTGGCGCCTGATGTCTGGCGGGCGGCACGAGATGAGCGTTTCGGAGCCATTCCGTGTCCAAGGCGGGGGCGAGATGGTGGAGGTGCGGTTTTCGGCGGCGCATGATTACGAGGTTGTGCTGGTAGAGGGGGCGCTGGATGAACAGAAGATCCTCCCTGCTTGGGCGGTTCGTTTGCATCGCGGGTATGCGAGGTTGATTCTTCATTTGGCGGCTCGGGAGGTGCAGGGGGGTTTGGGGTGAATCTGGGTCGTGGGGTAAGGTACCCGTGGGCTTAGATGGACGCTTCTTCAGAGCTCCTGAATAAATGCATGGTATCAGAGCATTCGGTGGGCGAGGCTTGTGACAAGGCTTGTTGCCTGATGGGTGAAATCTTGGTGGTCGGGGATTTGGCATGTCGCTGGATCAAGGCAGCGGTCATCCGTAGGATGGTTGTGAGGTACTTTGTGCTGGCGGACATGGGGTCATGGTACTTGCGCTGTTTAAGTGCAACCCCCTCTATCCCATGTAGCTGCTCGGCAGCGTCCTTTGATATTTGTGGATTGAGCCTGCGTAGTTTGGTCCATTGTGCAGTGATACAGGATTATGCAAGTATTGTGCAGCTGGTATGCGTGCATTATGCAGTGGCTGTGCTAATCAAGACATATTCATGCAGTGCTTACAGAGCGTTTATGCGCTTATACAGTGGTTATGCACCACCTATAAAGTGGATATGTGGTTATGCTGTGCTTGTGTAGTGCTTGCATAATATTAGCACAGTGGCTCTAGAGTAATTATGCAGTGATCATGCACTGCCTTGGAATGTGTGCTAGACCAAGCTTAGAAGTGGCCCACTTGCTACGCTAACCCAATAAAGTCCAGCACCAGTATTTACTTACAGCAAATTGTCTTGGTAATACGTCTTGCCTAATGATTACAAGCCAGTTACCGTACACATTGTATCAGTGTTTTACTTGTCAAGATTAATACCACGCATCAAATAGGTTCTTGACTTCTCATTGCATCGGCCCGAGCGCGATGCAAGGCAGACTGCTGTACAATGGTACATATTGCTCGCAGCAGCAAGGGGCAGGCCCCCGCATGGAAGTGGACCATGTATTCCAGTGTCGCCGCACTCTATTTTGTCCTCACCCAACTCCAAGTCCATGAACCTGCCATACCATCCCGTGCCTTTGCTCCGTGATGCGCACCATCAAGACCAACTAAATCCATCTCTTGCATGAATTCGCACGTTGAACTGGACATGTAGGATATGTTTTGCTAGGGTAGTAAAATCCGCCTTCCCTTTTAGTCTTGTGATAAATGGTTGCGACAAATCTCAGGCTTGTGAGACTGGGCAATGTGTCTAAGCTTGATTGTTGGCATGGGGCGCGGCGCGGATATATATTTTGGGCAGCGCTGAAAGAAGGGCCGGGAGTAGTGTAGCTCGCTTGAGACGTTCCGTCAAGGAATTGCTCAAGAGCGAGCTACATTAAGATACCGATAGGGTAAGGCATACTTAGAGACGGATTACATTAGAATACAACCATCGCGCTGGCATATCGTCTCCGGAGTCCGGTCAAGACTCCAGAGAGACAGAAACATGAGAGGGCAGCTGGTCAAAGGACTGGCCAATCGTATCTTCCAGAGCAGCGGGAGCTAGTCCCGATTAGCTGCCGCCTTTGGCAGAACAGCTGCCAGGGCCACACAAGTGTCAACCCACGGTCGGCTTTTGCCATCTACGGAGTACTAGGTATGGTAGTTTGAGTTGACTACGTGATCGCGCCCTCTGCGGCCTTATCGCTCAATACCGACACCAATCAAAGGCTGCAGTCCCTGTAAGGCATGCTTTGATTTGCAGCTCTTTTCAATGGTTGACTCCGACTGAGTCCGTCGTGGGGTTGATGTAGGGCTACGAGGTGGTCCTAGCTCGACAGGGGTACCTACGGTCGAGAAAATCCCAGGCCGCTGGGGCTATGTGCAGCCGTCAATTAGGTATCGCGAGATCAACTTTGCGACAACAATACTCGTCAATAGCGATCGCGAGATGATCGTCCCGGGAGAGCGGGAAAAGCGCCATCGCTGCACATCGGCCTCGGAGTCATGGGACGGACTAGGTAGGTAGGAGGTGGCATAGTTCGCAAAGGCCGAAGAGTAGGAAGGGGATGAGCGATGACGCTGGAGGCTCAGGAGGCGCGCACTATGGAATTTGCAAGGGAAGAAATCGAGATAACATAGGAACTGGATTAAATGAGCGAACGCGTAGGTAAGGCATCGCTTGCACCTTCCCCTGCTAGGTAACACAAGGCTTTCCAGAACTCGAACACTGCCAGCCAGTACATCCCTGCATGTGCAAAACGCCAGTCCGAACATGACCCAGTGTATCCGACCGTGAGTGTTTGCGTGACCGGCCAGAGATGTCCCGTTGTGGCACGGTGTGGACATCGGCCGCACCATCGAACAACAAGGCATCGGCGCTATGTTGCCGACAGGTAAACCATGAGCACCGCGGCATACCTATTCAGCATCAGTAGAGTGCTCACCGGCAAACATCTCTCCAGGACTTACCCTCCGGTAGGCGGAAACACGTCATACGACGGTTCCGGGTGAAGATGAGCCAGGAAGTATGCGAAGGCCGAGATAGCAATGGAAACAACTAGAAGCCGGAAGTGCAGCTCTGTGATGTAGGCCAGGGTCCAGATAGGACCCAGGATGAGCACCATCCCCATGGTGGCCGTCACCAGCTTGGCCATTCTGTCGACTTTCTCGGTCGGCGCGACCGTTACGCGGCCGGGGCTGATGTAGTAGGGTAATTGGTTCTCGATGGGCAATTCGTCCTCGGTCGACGCTACCGTTTCGTTGTCTGGGTCGGCGAAGTAGGGCAATTCTTCCTTCGCGGGGCTCTTCCAGAAGGGCAACTTCCTGAAGTACTTCCACCCAAGCAGGATGTCCCGCACCGGGTCAATCGCCTTGGGGAGAATCCGGTGAAGGTCCTCCTTGTGGATGTACTTCTTCTCATCCTGGTCGATCGCGTTTTTGTTGCATCCGTGCCAGCGTTTCAAGTTGTCCCGTTCGCGCTCCGTAGTCGATGTGCCTTGCTTGAATTGGACGTAGCTATGGGTGTACCGGTCTGGCAAAGAATCCATTGGGTTAGTAGCTTCCTGACTGGCGAGACGATGTACTCACAGTACTGCTCGAGCTTGGCCTGGGCCTCGTCCAGCAGGCGCATGCGTTCCTCATCTGGATTCTTTAGGAATGTACCATTGTGCACTGCGCGATCAGGAGAACGAAGCTGGCGTTCCCGGGTTTCGAGGTCTTGTTCGATCTTCGCGATCTCAGCTTGTTGACGCAGCATGACAGTTGCGTTTAGAGCGTCAAAGCTTCTGTACTGGCCGAAGTCATCGGTCGACGAAACAAAGTATCCGTATCCGCGATAGCCTGTGGTGCGCAACGTCAGTGCATCTTCTCCGCTTGAAAGTCATCGTCCGGCGAACAAACCAACATATTTTCCAGGATCATCTCTCATCTGCTGGTAGTCGAAGGTGTGCGCCGCCTCCTGGTCCTCCCCCTGCTGCTGTGGAGTGGACGATTCGGGTGTTGTCGCCGACATGCTGATTGTGGCTTTGGGGAATTGATGCTCCAGAGTAGCTTGAAGGACGGATCGAAGAAGCCTGCTCAGGAGAAGAAGCCTGCTCAGGAGAAGAAGCCTGCTCAGGAGAAGAAGCCTGCTCAGGAGAAGAAGCTTGCTCAGGAGAAGAAGCTTGCTCAGGGGAGGAAGCCTGCCCAGGGGAGGAGGAATCATCTTGGTGATCGTGACACAAGGTCGTGAGCTGCTGAGAAGTATGAGACATCCCGGAGCAACAACGGCTGTCATTTGCTCAGATGCACTCCACCCCGGGCCAAATCTCTCTTTGTTGCAGTCTTGAGCGCTCTGGAGCGCTCTTCAATCGTGCAAACAGATCTCCCCTCTCCTCTCTCCTTTGCCTTCCCCTGTCTTGTCTGCGAACTCCCGCAGACACGCAATCGCAGATCCCGCCTTCTCTTTCTGCGCTTGGGCTCTTTCGAGCTTAGCAACCACATTCACAAACTCCTCTTTTGTATTCTCTGCCCTTGATCACTACTGCTCGTCTCTGCCCATTATCGCCGCCCCTGTCTGGTGTCCTCTGCCGCAGTCTCATCCTCTACCCCAACCAATCCGCGTGCCAATTCGCGTGCACCATCAACCGAGCCGACAATGTTCGATTGTCTGCCAGTGGTGTCTGTGGGCAAACGAGACGTCCCCGACGAAGACGGTCCCGCGAGCCAATGTGACCCACTGCTGACCAGCACTGCACCCACCGGATCCGCGACAAACGGCGACCCGCATGACGCCCTGCCAACGACCGAAGGAGTCAAGAAGAGGCAGACGATGGCCTTCGAACCTGTGGACAGATGGCGATACAGTTACAGGTTCACGGAGCACTCCAATGGCTACGGGCACGTCGAAGAACGCCCAAAGACGAAGGCCAAAGCTGCGACCCAGAAGGCCACCGCGCCGACCTCGCGGACCGATGGCAAGACAGAATGCGGCGGTGAAAAGAAGCAGCTTGGGGGCGACGACAACGGATCGGACTCCGAGGGTGAGCGGACGAGGTCTCAGAAAGTTGGAGAGTCTGATGCGGGCTCAGTCCGCGCTGCCCTGCTTACGATCAATGAGATTTGGGATGCGTCGTGTGAAACACAGAGAGCGGAGATGATTGGCCGGATCGAGAAGCTCTTGAAAGTCGCTGGCCCCGTTGAGATATCGGCTGACCAGTACGATGGAGTGGACAAAGTGGTGAAAAGTTGGGCTCGTTATTCGAACACACCACCACCTGCAGTATCACGGTTCAAGAAGAAGCTGAGGATCGGCTTTTGGTCTGCATGAGAGGCCAGTTATCCTTTCATTCTCGATGAATCGAATATAGATCTTGAATACATGCCTTCTTTTCTTGCACTTTCTTCCTTGGTATCACGCGTAGTTCGCTGCCCATCCATGTTCTGCGGTAGTTTATCGATGGTTCTTCCAGTCTTCTGGGATGCATTTGCCTTTGTTGTACCATCGGCAGCACTGCATTGTCGCTGATTATGATTCTTTGATCCAGGCGTTTCAGGTTGTATTTGGCCGTGTCAGACTTTAACCGGTCTGCATTGTCGCTCATTATGATTCTTTGATCTAGGCGTTTCAGTAGTCAAAGCCCTTGACCTAAGAGTACGTGGCCAATTGACAATTCCTGCTAGCCCTTTGTCCATGAAACTAATCGAAAACGACAGGGCTACATCCATTGCCAGTGCGCCAGAAACTATATTCCACGTTAGACTTATGCCGTCGAGCGACCCGGCCGACTTCAGCCTCTTCTTTAGCCAGCATCGCACGCATCTAATCGTTGATCCCAGATCGCCGAGGTCTCGCCTCGCAAGCCAACGCAGGGATGTCCTTCGTCCTTCTGTCTTGGTGCACCTCGCGCTTCTTTACGAAGCACTTTGCCGTCGCTCGGCGGTACCACATCAATGAACCATGACAAAGACCGAAGACAAGGGTCGACCCTGAAACGTCGCAGGCCTTGTCGAGATCGAGGATAAACGCTTCAGCCGCTGTCAAAGCGAGACCAGGACCAGACTGACCGCCGCTGATGGGATATAAACCGGCACGATGCACCCCTTCACCACGGATCAATCATCCCATCTTTTTCGTCCCGTCATCTCATTCCACCATCTTCATCATGACCACCCAGCCGAGATACCCAGAGATCAAGGCCGCCGCTGCAGCGGTAGGCAATACCCTCAGCAGCGCGAAGATCCCCAACATGCTGTGGAGCTGGACCGCACTCGCCCTTTTCATCGTGGACCACGGATTCCCGGAGATCGAGTTCCTTATCCAAGACAACGAGGTCCCACAGGCAACCGGCGCCCTCACGAAAGCCGGCTACAAGAATTGCACGGATCCCTCGTGCTCCGAACTCCAGGAAGACCGCGGCGCACACCTCGGCGACGCCCTCAACAGGTTCCACCCGGTTGCAGCAGCACACTTCCACCTGCCTCCGCCAAACGGCCAAGGATCGGGATACTTGGTGTCACTGCTGAAAAAGAACGACATAATCCCCCACCTGCCGGACCTGAAGCTGGGTCTCCCCAAGCAAAAAGAATACGAGCTCCTCACGCTCTCCATTGACCCGCGCCTCCCACCCCGTGCAGAAGGCGGCGCTTCAGGCCCCTGGTACGACCTCCCCTTTGTGCGCGTCCCCCAGGACTATACCCTGGCACAGGCCCTCCTGCTTCTACGCTGCAGACACGTGGACACTAACCCCGGGCTTGACGGCCTCTGGCGCGACATGCTGTGGGAGATCAGACGGTTCAAACAGCCGCATCCCTTCGAGTTCGGCGAGAAGCATTTTAGCCCCCTGCTGGGCCAGCTCTGGGGAGACCTTGTCCAGGGGAACCCTAATTATCCTCCGGACGTGGACTTGCAGCATAAGCTGCGTGGAGTTGAGCTTGTTCGTGAAGCTCGCGACAGGATGCCAAGGATGAGCCCGGACGGCAAGGTCCTGAAGGCCAAGAAAGCGGCGGAGCACGTTTATATGACCGGGGACGGGCGATCAGGTAAGGTCTACTATGCGAAGGGCTGATATGATCGTACCTCCTCAGGTGAGTACCCACCGGGGCTGGCCCCTGGCTGCGGTATTCCACCCCTTGAACTTGTAAGTGGATTGCAGTTTTCTCGATGTTGTTTTTGTTTTGTTTTCCCCTACTCTCGTTGAATTGCAAGATTGAATATTATCACTAGTCCCCAACAACTGCAAGCCACCATGTCCACTTGCTGCAGGAGTCTCAACAGGACTTTGTAGTAGCGTAATTTACAGAGAAGACCGCGCTGACAGTAAAATACACGGCGCCAACTGACAGTAGTGGTAACAGCCCCACTCTTCGCGGTCCTGGTATATATTACATCGTGTACCGGATTCCCAGTGTATCTGTAAGCCTTGCCCCACCCCTGCGAATTTGTCATCCACATGTATGTAAGCAGCACAAAGGATTATGCAGCCTGTGGCTGAGCATTCCCCAGCCACTGCCCCAGCCACTGCCCAGCCACTGCCCCAGCCACCGAAGTCTTACTCATCAATCCAACGCCTGCGCCTCACACATCCGGCGATACAAGCCGCCCCTTGCAACCAGCTGCCCATGGGTCCCCCTCTCCACAATCCGCCCCCCCCAAAACACACAGATCACATCCGCCCCCTTGATCGTGCTCAGCCGGTGCGCAACCGCAACCGTCACCCGGTCCCCGTCCCTCGCCGCCTCCCCCAGCGCCTTCTGCACCATCCTCTCGCTCTCCGTGTCCAGCGCACTCGTCGCCTCGTCCAGGAGCAGGATCTTCGGATCCCGGACCAACGCCCGCGCAATCGCAATCCGCTGTCGCTGTCCGCCGGAGAGCTGCGTCCCCCCTGCGCCTGCGGGCGTGTGCATGCCCGACGGCAGCGACGCGACGAAGTCCCACGCGTTCGCGGCGCGGAGGGCCGCTTCGATCTGGGCGTCTGATGCGGACGTCCATTCGGGCTCTGCATTGTCTGCGGCGCCGGGTGCATGTGCGCGCTTGGTGCTCGTTGGTGAGAGCGGCGCTATGGACGGGTTGAACAGGCCCAGCGCGATGTTCTCGCGGATTGTGCCCTGGAAGAGGGTGGGTTCTTGTTGCACGAGCGCGACGATGTTGCGGTAGGAGGTCGGGTTCAGGTCTGAGAGCGGGGTTGAGTCGATTGTGATGCTGCCGGTGGTTGGGTCGTAGAAGCGCTCGAGCATGGCGATCATGGTGGATTTGCCGCAGCCGGAGGCGCCGACCAGCGCGATGAATTGGCCTTTGTTTATCTGGCCGAGTCAGCATCCTACTATCTTATCAGGGTGGCATTAGGTGTTTGCGTACCTTTAGATCTACGCCTTTGAGGACGGGGGCGACCGGGCGGAGTGGGTATGAAAAGCGGACGTTGTCAAGTGCAATGGGTGAGCCGGAGCCAGGGCCTTTGTCGTGGTTCTCGGGCGTTTCTCGCACAGTTGGCTGCAGCTGATGCAACCAGGCGATGTAGTTCGTTGCGTTGATGCCCTTGGTGATACTCGTCGACCACTGGAACAGCTGACTCGACGCCTGCCCGGCGAAGAACACGCCCAGGAACGCGACGAAGAAGTTATACATGCTGATATCCCCCGTCGACAGCAGCTTACAACCATACCAGAACCCCAGCGCCTGGAACCAGTACTCGATGCACTGCGTCAGCCCGAAACAGACCATCGTCAGCGCCATCGGCTTAACAGACGACGAGACCGCACTGTCCAGCTCATCCGTGTACCGACGCAGCACAGTCCCCTCAATCGCCAGCGAGCTCACAGTCCGAATCGCAGTAATAGCCTCCGACGCAATCGACGAGCTAGCCCCATACTTCCTCGACGTATTCCGATCAAGCCGCGCATCAAGCCTTATCCGCACCACGCCCGCCCCAACAAGCGGCGGAATGCCCCCAAACACAACAACAAGGCCCAGTTTCCACGAGTATGCAATCGCAAGCACGCCGCACGTAACCAGCTGCAGCACCGCAATCACCACAAGCGCGATGTTGTACCCCATCAGCTCGAGAATCGCCTGCGGGTACGAGTCGACCTGCGCCACCAACGCCCCCGTCGTGTTCTCCGCCCGGTCGAAGAACTGGATATCCTGCCGCAGGATATCGTGCAATATCGTGCGTCGGAAATGGTGGCTTAAGTGCTGCGCTACGCTGTTCGTCGCGTACCCCATTGCCCCGTATGCGAGCAGGCATCCCGCCGCCAGCACGATGAACATGCTTGCGTAGAAGTCGCCGCGGCTGACCATTTCGTCGCCGGTTAGTGTGAAGACGTCGACGACCCGTGACATTAGGATTGCCTGCCCTGGGAACATGGCGCATCCGCCTAGGCAGCCGAGGAGCACGACGATGTAGGCCCATGTTAGCTCCGGGCATGCGCGGACGAGGTAGAGGAGGGAGGCGAGGACGCCCATTTGCTTGTGGTTCGCGTAGCTATCGCGGTTCTTGGTGGACTCGAGGCGGGCGCGGATGGAGGTTGGGTAGCGGGTTAGGGTTGCGGCTGTGGAGGTGGGGTGGAGGGCGTCTTCGGCCTTGACGCTGTCTTCTTCCGAGTCCTCCTCTTCCGCGGGTTTGTGGTCCTCCGCGGAGACGGAGAGGTTCTGGATTTTGACGAGGCGCGCGTAGGCGCCGTCGGCTGCTATGAGGGATTCATGCGTGCCTTGTTCCACGATGCGGCCTTTGCTCATGACGACGATGTTGTCGGCTTTGCGGATTGTGGCTAGTTTGTGCGCGATCACGATTGTCGTGCGGCCTTCTGCTGCCTTGTCTAGGGCTTTCTGCACGATGGATTCGGCGTGGGGGTCTAGGGCGCTTGTTGCCTCGTCCAGCAGGAGCACCTTTGGTTGAGACACGACGCTGCGGGCAATGGCAACGCGCTGTTTCTGGCCTCCTGATAGGAGACCGCCGCGTTCACCAATTGGGGTATCGTACCCGTTTGTCAGTTCGGAAATGAAGTCGTGCGCGTAGGCCATCTTTGCTGCCTCTTGCACTCGTTCCATCTGCTCTTCCCTGGAGTCGTTCTCCCACGGCGTTCCGACAAGACCGTACCGGATGTTGTCGAACACGGTCCCCTGGAAGAGGACAGGCTCTTGCTGCACGAGGCGGACGTTCCGCCGCAGCCAGCCGACGTTCAGTTTGTCAATGGGCTTCCCGTCGAGCTTGAGTGTCCCTGAGTTAGGGTTATGCCATCTCTCCAGCAGCCCGACGATGGTGCTCTTCCCTGAGCCAGACTGGCCCACCAGAGCCGTCACCTTCCCCGCAGGGACTTTAAGACTGAAGTCGTCGAGCACGGTAATGTTCGGCCGAGTGGGATAGGCAAAGCTCACATTCTCCAGCTCAACTTCCCCAGCCACCGACTCCGGCTCAAGACCCTCCTTGCTGTACGGATCTATTTCCGACACCCGATCAATCAGCTTGAACAGCTGCGCCGCCGCCGACGCAGCCCTGCTAAAGTCGATCGAGTACGGCGCCAATAGCGTGAGATTGATGGCCGCAATGATAACGGAGAGAAGGACTCTGCAGGACACATCAGTAACAGTAACACCCCAACCGGCAGTAGACAACAACATACGTAAAAATATCCCCCGCCGTCGCAATCTCCCCGCTCGCAAGCATATGGACCCCCTGCCAAAACGCCAGCCCAAAACCGAGATAAATAATGGTATACTCCGCCGAAAACAACACCCCCATCAAGGGCCCAATCTTCCTGCCCACCGCATGCGCAGCTCCAAGATCCCCATCAAACCGCCTGACCAGCGCATCGCGCATCCCAAACGCCTGCACCGCCTTAACACCGCCCAGCACGCCCTCGGCAAACGAATTCGCTTTCGCATGGATCCCCAGAATGCGCGTCTCATGCCCGGCCTCGATCGCCGCAATCGCGCCCATCGTGCCGATCGTGGCAACAGGGACACAGATGCAGATGAGCGTGAGCTTCCAGTGCACGATGAACGCGATGATGAAGGCCGTGACGAACGCCGCCAGACCCTGGAACAGTAGCCCGATTTTCTCGGACGCCCCGGCCTGGATCAGTTTGCCGTTTGAGGTTGCCTGGGCCGCGATGGACCCGCCTGTGCCGAAGTCGTAGAACGAGACTTCTTGGCTTAGGGCTGCGCGCACGTAGGTGTGTCGGATGTTGCGGATTATGCGGTAGGCCGCGTATGTTAGGAATGTGTTGTACGTGTAGGAGAGGATGAGGCGGGCGATGCCCAGGTAGACGAAGTAGAGGCTTTGGTACAACGTGTCAGTGTGTTTGGTCTTGTGTTTGGAGAGAGGGGATGGGATGGGATGCGTACGCTAGCTCCGCGACATCGCTGCGGAAGGCTGCTGGTGTTGAAGATCCGTTCGTGAAGTCTGTGATGATCGTGATGAAGCGGCCGAAGATGAGATTCTGGAGCGCGATGCCTGCGCCTGAGGCGCATGCTACGATGATCGCGATGCCTTGGAGTGTCAGTTCGGTTTTGCTGGCGAAGGTGAATATTCTCTTTGAAGGTAATGTTAGTATAGGTGGGTTTTGATCGCGTGTCTGGGAATGTCCGCACCTTGTACGCGCCAAAGCTGCCCCCCTCCTCGTTGTTCACCTGCGGCGTCTCATCCTTGTCTGCGCTCGCAGTGTCAGTCGAGGGCACCTCCTTGGTCTCGACCGAGGAATCCATTCTTTAGCTTGAAATCCGTGAGAAGAAAACTTGTGTAAAGACCGCAGGGTCAGCGAGCCTCAAGGTGGTTTAAGAAGCTGCCATCGGCGCTGCGGTGGCCCAACGCTCCGAGCCTCCGCGTTGGCGCCTAGAAACTCGTATCGCATGCATTTCCCGATGGCGTTTAGTTTGACGTCAGATTGGAGAGTTTGTGTCCGCGGATCCCGGCATTTCGCCTCTTTGGTGCGGTCGGGTTCCGCGGGCGCCGAGGAATATCTACCCATGTTAATATTGTGTGCTGTAAAAGATTTTGAGGAACTAGAGAGGAATCGAGTGAAAACAAGGAGAACGGTTGGTAATCTTTTTAGTAAGGAAGGCAGTGGAGACGTGGACTGGGACTGGTCGAGCTCGACTAAGCGCAGTCCTGTTCTTTCTATACCCCAGGTACTCCAGGCATGAGGCCAGGACGCAACGTGGGCTTTGCTTGGTAGCACGGCTACGAAGGAATGTATGGGATGCAGCGAGACATCGATTTTGATGCCTAGCCGAGTGCATCGGTGCTTGTATACAGCCTTGCATCGCAGTTGAACTAGAAAAGCTCTGAGTCCGGATACCTGTCGTTGTCCTTGGCCAGGCGAAGATCCCTGTCAGCCAAAGGTGGAGATCTCTTATTTTGGTGGAGTTCTTATTTGTTAACGCCTTTACATGCCGTGTTAGTATAGAAAAGTAAGGCGCTTAACACCTTACTATTTTAGTAAAAAAATTAGGCTACTAATAAGTTTTTAAAGGCTTAAATTATTTATATAAACCTTTAGGTAGCTTTAACTTTTAATAAATAACTTACTTTTTTTTTATTTTTTTTATAGTATTTAATTAATAGCTTTATTAATTAATATAATATATAAAGGGCCTTAAAATTATAAGCCTAAATATTAATTTAATAATTTAACTTATTAAATTTTTATTTTTTTTAAATATTTTAAAGCTATTTATATCTTTAAATATATATTTTAAAGCTATACTAAGCCCTTTATAATTAATTATTTTTTTTATTAAATTAAAATAAATATTAATTAATTTTTAACTTTTATACTTAATTTAAAAGTTATTATAAGCTTTATTAATAATATTATAAGTATAAAAGTTATTTTTAAGTTTAAAAATAACTAGCTAGCTTAGTATAGCTAGATTTTTTATTTTACTTAAATAGTAAAAATTTAAAAGTTTCTTAACCTAAATATTCTTAAAAAAAAAAAAATTTTTTAAGTTGCCTTTTAAAAATATAACTAAAAAAATATTTAAAATATATAATAAATACTAGCTTAATACTAAGTATTATTATATTAAAATTTAAAAAATAAATAAAGCTATTTAAAAAATTATTACTATTTTTATTTAATAACTTATTTAAAATAAACTTACTATAAAGGTTTTAACTAAATTAAAGTAATAATTTATTTTAACTAATTTTAAAACTAAACTAAAGGTATTTAATAACTATTTTATAGCCTTAAATACTTTAATTTAATAAGGTAAAATTAATAATTAACTTTAAAATTATAAAAATACTTACCAAGAGATTAAATACCTTAATTAACTTAAATTAAAAAATAAAATAGTTAATATAACCTTTTTATAAATAATTAATAAGTATTTAAACTTTTATATAAAATAAAATACTAATTAATTAAATTAAAAAGGTGCTAATTTAATTTCTTACCTTTAGTTTATATTTAAATATTAATAATATTTTTTTATAACTAATAACTTTTTTAAAAACTTTACTAAAGTGGTGGCCTTTATAACTTTTAGTAAAAAATTAAATATTTTTTTTAAAATAGTATTAACTAATAACAAGCCTTCTTATTTATATAGCTATTTTTAAGTAGTAAAGTAGTATTAATACTTTATATAATTATATAAAAAGCCATGGTATAAACCTAAAAAAAATATAAATAAAAAATTAGTAAAGCTTTTAATAAAAATAATAAATATAATAAGAAAATTTAAAAAATAAGGGCTAAGAATAAATAAATTTTTAAAAATAAAAAAAAATTAAAAAAAAAGCTTAAAAAGCTTTTTTAGCTACTTAGGTTATAATAAAAAAAAATATTATAACTATATACTTGTTATAAATATTTAAAGTAATTTAATACTTTAAAATACCTTTATTTTTAATATTAGTGCCTTTATTTATATTTATAATAATTTTAGCTATTTTACCTTTTTTAATTAATTAAAAAAAGGTAATATTTAAGCAGGAAATATAACTATTATTATTTAAGGTATAAAATTAGTACTTTTTTATTTTAAAACTTTAAATAATAAAATAATACCTTTTACTTTTAGTAAAGTGGCCTTTATACCTAGCTTTTATATTAATATTTTAATAGCTAGGCCTTTTAAAAAGGCTAAATATTTTTAAAATTTTAATACTTTAATTACTAAAAATAGTAAACTAGTATTTTATTTTAAAGATTATTTATTTAGCCTTTAAATAGTTAAGTTTAAAAAAAACTTAAAGCTTTAAAAAAAGGCCAATATATTAATTTAATAAAAAGTTAAAACCTTAACTTAAAAAATTTATATTAAAAAAGATTTTAAAGCTTTTTACTAGTGCCTAAACTATATTAATAATAAAATACTTTAATACTTATTAATTATAATTAAAAAAGTTTAAATTACTAGTTTTTAACTGCCTTAATAATATAATACTTATAAATATAAATAAGCCTCTTAATAAATATTTAAAAGGCCTAGAAATCCTGCTACTATATTATTTAATTAAGTTTACTTTAACCTAATTTTTATAAAAAAAGTAATAAATAAAAAAAAGTAAATAATTTACTTTTATAATAAAAACACCAAGTTTTACTAGGCCTATATTTACTAAAAAAAAGTAGGTATAAAAATATTATTAAGTAATATACTAAGCTTATTTAAACCTAGTTTAATATTACTTTTAAGGTTTTTTTAGTAATTATAAGCTTATATTTAATAATAATATTTTTAACTTTACTATATTTTAAGGTATACTCTAAAACTAGTTTACTTTTTATACTTTTTTTAAAATAGTATAGCTAAGCGCTCTAGTGGTATATTAATTAAAAAAGTAAAAATAATAACTTTTTATAAAAAAATCTTTTTTAATATATAGCCCTGGGTTATAAAGGCCGCAGCTTATATTAATAATTAAATTTTTATTAAGCTACTAAATTAAAAAACATTATAAAAAGCTTTTACTAGTAAAAAACCTTATATTTTAAGTATTAAAATACTAGGCTATTTTACCTAGGCAAGATAATCCTGGGTAAAAAGTTTTTATAAAATAAAACTAAAGGCTTTACTAAAATACTTACTAGGCTATATTACCTTTAATATTTAATAAATCTAGTTTTTTAAAAAGTAGCTTGTACATGCCTGTAAAAATATTATTTTTAATAAGTTTAAATTATATAATTTAAAAAATCCCTTTTTTATTATTAATATTAAAATTAAGTTACTAGAGCCTTTAGCCTAAATTTTTAATATTTTTTTTTAAAATTATAAATTTAAAAAGATTAATCTAAACCTTAACTTTAGGAAATTTTTTAAATAAAAAAAAATAAAAGTATTTTAAATATAAATAGGCCACGGGTGGTGGAGATCTTAAAAAAAATATTAATAATAGTAGTAAGTATAGAGCAAGAAATAAGGCTTAAAATATTATTAATAAAATTAAAAATATTACTAGTAAAAAAAAGGCCTTTAATTAACTAAATAAGTTTTTATACTTACTAATTCTAGAGCTAACTCCTAAATCTTATTATTATAAAAGGCTTATATAAAACTTAGCTTTATAAATAGCTTTAAGGGCCTATTTAAAAAATCCCTAGTAATAAATTTTACGCTTTTAAGTATCTTAATATTTTTTTATTAATTTAGCTAGTAAGTAATTACTTAAAAAAAATAAATAAGTATGCCTAGCTTTTTTTTTTTAGCCTTTAAGCTTAGCGCGCTTAAGGAATAAAACTCTAGTAACTTTAGTTTTTTTTTTAAAATATTTAGGCGTAGGTATAAATAATATAATACTAATAATTATATATATAATTTAAATTTAAATAATACTTTCTTAAATAATTTAAATAACCTTAATTATATTTAATTTACCTTTTCCACTTTTTATTAAAACCCTGTAAAAAATACCTTTATTAAAATAATTTATTTTTTTTTCCAAGCGCTAAAATAATTTTAAAAATTATTTATTTTATAACCTTTTTTTAAAGACTATAAATCTTAAACTAGGAGCCCTTTATAAAATAAAAGTATAAAAAATAATAAATAAATAAAAAATAAAAATAAACAAGCTAATTTTTTTACTATAAGTTTTTACTTATAAATTTAATACTAATAGTTATTTTATTAAGGCTAAAGCCTAAATTTATATGCACGGAAATTTAAAAAATTTTTTAAAAAAAATTAAGTAATAATTACCTTAGCAAGGGTTTTTAAAGCTCTTGTAGCGCTTATAGTTACTTTTAATCTTAATTTTAATTAAAAAAATACTATTAACATGTTTTTTAATACTACCTTTAAAAAGGTAATATATTTTTACTTTTTAAATAATTATAAATAGCAGGGTAAGTTACTAAAAGCCCTTAAGGTTATTTATAAACTTTAAAAGTTTTTTTATTTTTAGTAGCTTAATTTAGCTATAATACTATAAAAATTTAGCTTTATTATAATTTTTAAAAAAAAAGTGCCTTTATATTAGTAAGTTTATAATTTTTTTTATTTATATAAATAATATTATTATTATAAACCTTTTTATTAAAAAAGGCTAAGCTACTATAACTATTTTTAAAAAAAAATTAGTAATAAAATACAAGCTCTAGTATTTTAGTAAAATAAAATAATTTTTAAAAATTTAAATTATTTAAAATAAAAAAAAATATAAGGTTTAGTTATATTAAAACTCCTATATTAAAGTAATTATAAACTAATTTTACCTAAATATAATAGTTTAACCTTTAAAAATACCTTTTTTTTAATAAGCTTTATTTAAACTCTGGTACTGCTACACCTTAATAAATTAAAAAAATAAGGTTTAAAATTAACTTAATTAAATATACAAGCACGCTTACTTATTTAAATATTTTTTATATTATTAGTTAATTATTAAAACACCTAGTTAATCTAGTAAATTATTATTAATATATAATAAATTAACTTATTTTTTATTTTTATAATACATGCTTTATAGCCCTTAAATACTCTAGTTTAAATAGCTTTAAAAATAAGCTTATTTTAAAGGTATATAATTTTTATAAGGCCTATTTTAATATAATTCTTATTAATTAATTTAATTACTTTTCCAGCGCAGGTTATATTTATAAGTTATATAATAATTTAATTAAATAAAAAGTTATAAAGCAGCGCTTAGTTATAATTTTAATAATTAAAATAAAATTACTTATTTTATTTAAGGCCTTTAAAATAACTTACTAGTAGTACTAGGTTTTTAATTTAATATAATTTAATTTTTAATACTATTTTTTAGTTGAATATAATAATAAATAAATTATTAATACTTTTACTAACTTTAATATTTAATATTAATTAAAATTTTAGCATGTTAATATTTATAACTTATAACTTTAATAAAAAGTTTAGCATAAAAACCTTAAAATTAAATAAACTTTTATAAATTAAATAATTATAAATAGCCTTACCAAGCCACTTACTAAATAATAATACTATAAATTTATTAAAATACTTAATTTAGTAAATATTTTTAGCCTTATTTTTAGTATTTAATAAGTATTAAGGAAGTGTGTTAGCTAAAGGTAAAAATTTTTTATTTTAATAAAGTTTTTATTTATTAATATCTTTATATACCGTGTTAGTATAAAAAAGTAAGGCACTTAATACTTTATTATTTTAGTAAAAAAATTAGGTTATTAATAAGTTTTTAAAGGCTTAAATTATTTATATAAACCCCTAGGTAGCTCTAGCTTTTAATAAATAACTTATTTTTTTTTATTCTCTTTTATAATATTTAATTAATAGCTTTACTAATTAATACAGTATACAAAGGGCCTCAAAATCCCTAGGTACCTTGGCAGATATTGGGAGTTGTATATCTTTTGCTAAACTCTACCTAGGGATGTTTGAGGCTTAGGACATCCATACTTACAAGGTACCATCGCGTGTTCACCTAGATTGGCTCGTGTCAGTACTACTGGTTATCCGCTACACGCTGTAATACAGTGATGCTATCAATAGCCCTTGTTAGGTGCTACCTGAATGGTAGTATTCCAAGTGAGTTCCTACTGGACACAGAGCCTGATGTGGTTAAGAACAATTAACGCCCCAGGATGCTCTCCGATCATTTCGTAGACATGGAAGTGCAATGACTTTACAGCTGCTTTTATCCCAGAGATAGAATACATTCCATCTCTTATTGCTCACCGGCAGTGAGATAATGATCCTTCCAGAAAGCGGCCGCTTGATCCCCAGCAATCCTCCCAAACACCGCACACTCCAGCAACGACGACCCGCCCAGCCTATTCTGACCGTGCAAGCCACCTGTGACCTCACCCGCAGCCCACAAACCCCTAATCGGCTGCCCCTGTTCATCAAGCACCTGAGCCTCCTCGTTAAACAGAACTCCACCCATAGTAAAGTGCAGAACAGGCGTAACCTTCCCAACATACACCACAGAATCCGCCTGCGGCTCACTGAGCATCCAGTTCCCGAACGCAACACGGCCGTAGGGGTCAGCCTTCTTGCCCGCAACAATATCCGCGTACTCCTGCACTGTCTCGAGAGCCGTTTCTCCGATCTCGCCGAGCGTGGTCTTCTGAAGTAAACCCTTCCACAGGTAGAACTGCATATGGGTATCCAGCGCCGCAGCGGCCCCTTCGTCCAGTAGCAGCATAACGTCCCACTGCCTTATATCACCATCACCCTCCAGCTTAGTCGCAGATTTCCACACGGCATCCGTAATAAACTCCCGTGTCTCAAGCTCATTAACGAACCGCGTGCCGTTATCAAGTAGAAGAATCCCGCCTTCCCCGCGCAGCGCCTCAGCCGCAAGGAACTTAACCGTCGCAGACGGGCCCTTCTGATCCAAGAACCCCGTCGGATGAACCTGGATGTGCTCCATGTCGACCAGCCGCGCGCCGATCTCACTCAGTAGCGGCTGCGAGCCTTCCCTCGCCTCGTTGGTCGATGGGATGCCAGCAAGGTCAGGCCGATACTTGTTTACCATGCCGTGCACGTCTCCTGCAAACCCGCCGCTCGCGAAGATAACTGGACCCCGGATGCTGTGGGTACTCTCCTCGGCGTCGACGTACTCCACGCCCACGACCTCCTCGGACTCCTTGAGGACTTTAGTGACGCGGGCCTTCATCTTCATCTCGGCGAACGGATTTGCTTTCAGGCTGTCCAGCAGCGTCCCGACGATCGCTGCGCCGGGCGGCTTGCCCTTTGCACCGCGGTGCGTCCGCGGTTTGCTGTGTCCGCCCAGCTGTGCGACTTTGCTTAGGTCGATGCCCGTGTCGTCCGATAGCCAGGCTACAGCGTCTTTGGATGACTTCGTAACAAGCTCAATTAATTTGTCTCTGCGTTCTCTGTCGATGTTCTCGGCCGTGGCATACGGCTTCCCAGCCGATCTAACGGTGTCATTGTAGAACTCTTCGACGGTATCAGGGACACTCTGGAACTTCGTCCCGGCGCCGTTTATGCCAGACGACGCTTTCATGCTATTTCCGCCGGGCTTCTCGGCGCGGTCAAGCAGGATCACGGGGACGTTGTGTTTTGTTAGCTGTGTTGCGGCCGAGAGGCCTGCTAGGCCTGTGCCCACTACGATGACGTGGGGTTGGTGGGTGAGTGGTTGGGGGATTGCGCAGGTGGACATTTTGCTTTTGAGAAGACGCGAGACCGGGAACATGGATTGTTTGTTTACGATGGTTCGATGTGGGGATGAGTGTGGTTATGTAGGGGTCGCGGGGTGGTCTGATGCGGGATCAGCCCACGTGGAAGGGATGCACGCACCCAAAGACAAGTCGGGAATCAATGACGTTGCACAAAGCACATTCCCGAGCTCGTATTCTGGTGTCACATGTTTCTTGACTCGATATATCTAGTCTTACAGCGTACTCACATCCCCGATGTTCAACATTGTTAGAATATAACTGGTACGCTGCCCCGATCTTATGGCATATGGCTATTGTCCGCCCGTCCTCTGCCTCGCAATTGTGTTCACGGCCCCTACCCTTGAATATGGCAATACTACCCTTTCCATCTGTGTGTGGCGATGCTCAAGCTTTAAGGGCTTCGGGGCTGCTGAACCCTAACTGATGCCGGAAGGCACCTGATCCAACTAACATAATCCAGGTTACTTGTGTAGTTCATGCCCTTGGTTGAATATTTCCGGATCAGGTTCATTTATCCTGCCTTATTCACCCACAGTAATACCATAATATCTACAGTGAATGGACATAAGCTGAAGACCCCAGAACCTGATTCGGCCACACCATCCAATCCTCCCACTCCGGCCCCAAATACCCCGTAACCTCACGTATAACAAACGCTCCCGAGTCCCCAAACAGCCAGAAATTCCTAAACCGATGCAGCAGGCACGCATAATGCGCAAGGATAACCAACGCCTCGGGCCGTCTCTGCTCGAGGAACTCCCCAAACTCAATGTCCATCAAGATCGGCCACGTCGTCACGGCGTTGATACCCACATGCCGCTCGTCCCATTTCTCAATGACTGTCGCGCATGACTGCAGCCCCTCAACCGCCTGTCTATAGATCCCGGTGACATGCTCGCCGAGATTCGCGCGGTCGATCCTGTCAAGTAACGACTGGCAGGTGTGCCCGAGGCAGCCGGTGAATGCGTACAGGTCCTTCCCCATCGCGAAGGATGGGCCGAGTGGCGTGTCCTGAATCATGTGCCAGGCTTTGTTGACGATGGTGCGGACGCCGTGGTAGACGCGGAAGAAGTGGACGAAGCGGGCGAGGAAGTCGGGCAGGTCGCCTTGGCGGTAGATAAGGGTGTCGCAGAGCATGTGGATGCCCAGTGTGGCGGCGAATATGAAGAGGGGGATGCAGCTTTCGCGCGTGACTTGGGGCGCGGATTCTTTGAAGATGGATAAAGCGTTGGTTTGCAGCTCGGCGGCGTGGTAGCGGAAGTACGCCTGTTGGTTTGGGCATTTTATGCTGAGGTGCAGTGCGCTGAACGCGAGGAGCTCGTTGACTAGATACGGTGTCATCATTGACGGGTCCATGTCATCTGCTAGCCAGGGGATGGATCTGTTTGGGTCAAAGGTGGTGCGGATGTGCGTGTAGAGGTTGTGGAAGAGTTCGATGTGGAGCATGTTCACGGGCTGATTGGGAATGGCTGGGGGCGCCGGGGAGTGATCGCCTGCAGGGCTCTCTGGTCTTGTTAAGGCCAACTGGGCTCTAGATCCTGGTAAGATGGACCGCGGGGCTGCTGTCAGGGAGCGGGTTCCGTATCCGCAGACTCGCTCGGCGGTGGCGCAATTCGAGCAGATGGGCTGCCTCTCGTCACACTGCAATGGTTAGTTATTCTGCGGGGGAGTTGGAGCCGAGCACATACCCTGACATGGCGCCGCTTACACTCGAGACACCCGTTCCGAGACTTCTTATGGGCTCGTTGTGGCATTGTACTGCTGACTGTGGGGTAGCAACAGGGAGGTGAATATTCAGCGGACGGAATGCTGGCGCCTATTTCAAGAAACAGGGTTCGGTTTAACGTTCCTTTTCCTTTCCTCCACTGATGCGTGCAACTGGCGAAATCTGCGGCGTATAAAAATAGGTTCTCGCGCAGGGACTTTTTCCAAATGATTACCTAGCGAATGGGAGCCAGAAAAGTCCACGGGTGCACGGGCCAAGGATGACCCACTCCAGCCCTGATTCATGGGTGCAGATCAAAACTGCATCATATAAAGAGGAAGATGGCACACCCCATGCACACATCACAGAAAAAGCCATTCATCCACATCATGCCAAAACTCGAGCCCTTCCAGGACGACTACTATCTATGGGACTATGTCCCTTCCATCGCCCTCTCCCTCATCTTCCTCCTCCTCTTCCTAGCCCTCACCCTCTTCCACGTGTGGAAGGCCTCGACCACGCGCGCGCGCTTCTGCATCCCTTTTATCATCGGTGGTGTCTGTATGTCTCTCGTCTCCGAGTCTCCCAGACTTCCGTCTTCCTGCCGTCTCCCCCTTCGTCCTGTCCACCATAACTAAGCCATTTCCAATCCTCCCAGTCGAAGTAACCGGCTTCGCAGTCCGCGCTGCCTGCACAAACGCAACCGCCAACCTTATCCTCTACGTCCTCCAAACCGTCTTCATCCTCCTAGGCCCCGTGCTCTTCGCCGCAAGCGTCTACATGGTCCTCGCACGCCTCATCCGCAGCGTGGCCGCAGAAAAGTACTCCCTTATCCGCATCACCTGGGTCACAAAGGCCTTTGTCACGGGCGACATCCTCTCATTCCTCGTCCAGGGTCAGGGCTCGGGGCTCCAGGCCTCGGACGGACTGGAGACCGTCGCCAAGGCAATCGTGATCACGGGCTTGATGATTCAGATCGTTGTGTTCGGGTTCTTCATCGCCACGGCTGTGGTCTTTGAGAGGAGGATGAGGCGCGCGCCGACGAGTGAGGCGCCGTACACGCATCATCTGTATCCGCTGTACGCGATTAGTGGGCTGATTATGCTGCGCTCGGTCTTTCGGGTTTTCGAGTATGGGCTCGGCCAGAAGGGGTATCTTTTGGTGAATGAGTGGCCGCTTTTTGTGTTTGATGCCGTGCCCATGGTTGCGGTTATGGGTATCTGGGGGCGTTGGCATCCTGGGACGATACACCGCGAGGCGCGGGGCCAGTCGTTGAGTATGGGGGGTTATCGGAGTATGGCGTAGTGCGCCTTGCTGTGGTGCCCTATGCAAGCTGCCAAGGCACCTTCGGCTACCTAGGAAAGGGCATCAAGGGCCGTGGTCTATGCGGGAAACATCCGGAGCAATAGACTGCGTTCCTTGATTGGCAGAAAGGCTTGGAAGAATCTTGAGATTCTGGGGTCTTGGAACCCTGAGGACAATATCGTGGTTATCATCGAAAGACGGCATTGACCGCTTGAACGTTCCCAAGGGTTTGAACCATTCAGCCGGATACTTTCCCCGGCACAAACATTCAACGGCGAGTTCAGCCGATAATAGTATTAAACACACACCACGCAGTGTGAAAAGAAAGGATGAACTAGGTATATTACTGGATTTGCGTCGAGTACGTCCTCGTCAAGCCAACCATACCATGCACCCCACCAAGCCGTTCGTGCTCTTTTTCAACCCCGTCAAGTTTGCCCGGCCCTTCTACAAGCAACTCCAACAAGTTGCCCATACGGAAGTCGTGATACCTCAAAGCAGGATAGAGTTCTTCCAGGACCTCCAGGACAAGTACAGGAATATCTTTGCCATTTACCGAACGTCGTCCAGCGGCGCTGTAAGCTTCTTCCATGCCATGGCTCCTCTATTCTCAATGGAAACTGGAGCTAACACCACGCTCCGCTGTAGATTGCCGGCAAGTTCGACTCAGACTTCATCAATCACCTCCCGTTCAGCTGCAAGTATATCTGCCACAATGGCGCCGGCAAGCAAGCTTGAGCCCTCCAACACACACTGGCAAATGGCTCTGACAAGCAGCAAAAGGCTACGACACCATTGCTACAACCGCCTGCGCAACCGAGGCATCATCGTCACCAATCCGCCAGATCCAGTCACCGACGCAACAGCCGACCTCGCCGTATTCCTCCTTGGTGCGCTCTGCCAGCTAAATCCCGCCATGGCCTCGCTACGCGCCGGCACATTCAAAACCGGCGTCCATGTCGGCAATGATCCGCAGAACAAGGTGCTCGGGATCCTAGGCATGGGGCGAATCGGACATGCCAGGAAGAAGCGGTACGATGCGTTCGGCCTGAAACAATCTACCACAATCGGTCTCCATTACCGGCCGCGCAAGCCGGCGGCGCGGAAGAGGTCTCGTTTGAGAACCTATTGCGCCAAAGCGACATTATCACCATGAATGTGCCGCTGACTGCACGGACAACGCACCTTACCGGGCCTGCGGAGCTGGCGCGCATGAAGGCCGGCGTGGTGATTGTGAATACGGCGCGGGGAGCGATTATTGATGAGACGGCGTTGGCGGAGGCGTTGGAGAGTGGGCATGTTGGGGCAGTGGGACTGGATGTGTATGAGAGGGAACCGGAGATTCATGAGAGGTTGCTTAAACAAGAAAGGGCGATGTTGGTCCCGCATGTTGGGACGCATACCGCGGAGGCATTGGGCAAGATGGAGACGTGGGCGATGGAGAATTTGCGCCGGGCGGTTGTTGGGGAGGATCTGCTGTCGCCTGTGTCTGAGCATCAGGGGCTGGCTTTGAGCAGGGGAGTTTCCTTGTAGAATGGGGATATAGGTGACCTGACCATCTTTGTTTACTAAAATAGAATAAATGTTGTACCTTGCTGAATGTGCCTCAAAGCCCGACCTCTTTGGCCGATCAAGGGAAGCACACCTATTTTTATATCATGTGTGTGTCTTGGTGATTATCTTACCTGCATTACCGGGCTCGCATTGCCTTTCATTCCTGTTGACTGGGTTTATGTTTGATCGCGAATGGGATTGATACATGCCACTTTTGCGGTTTCTACCGTCTAGTGGAAACCACAACCTTGGAATGTTCGAGGGCTTGCTGCAACTGTGAACTCTTGGCCAGCGGAATTTGGAAGAGAATGGATTAGCAATGGAGCAACCTACCAACGCCAGGCCAACTGTCAGGATACGGGAATGAAGTGAGGTCACTAGGGCTTGTTCTTGAATCAATTATTTGGAGCACAATTTTGCATCACACCAATGCCCCTTGTTCTGGTGACTCATTAGACATGTAAAACTTAGGCTGACATAAATGATAAGCCCGTGACGATATTTGCCTTTGACTCCTTGATAGCAGTCTCAACAGACTTCTCTCACTCTCCGAGATCTTCATTTTACGCATTTGAATCAATGTTGACGCCTGGTGCGTGGGCAGCAAAAGTGGAGGGGCGTTCGTTTTCCATCCTTATTTTGATATTTTTGGCACCGTCTCGTTATATTATCAGCAATGTTGATTGTTAAGAAGACACACCCGATTGAATGGTTTGTCTATGACAACCATATCACCACCCACCACCCCAAAGGGTCGAGCGTTTCGGATGCACAGTTTGCCCTAGACGCAAGGGGGAGCAACTCTGGTGTTCAAGAAAAACTGATCAAGACAAAATCCACCTCGTATGAAAGCTCGACTCGTGGATAATGGCAACGCTCTGACTATGTTCTGGTTGAATCACCTGGATCGAAATGCTATCGCCCTGGCTTGTCCACGCGATTCAGAGAAGAGCCTTAGTTTTTCATCGTCCAAGTGCCGAATCTGTGTTTCTACGCTGTTTCTGGGTTATATTTTGGCAAGAATCCCAAGTGGTGCGTCCTTCCCTTTGGCTACGATTTATGATGCCACATGTCCTGCATCAAATTGACTGGATACTCTTTGATGGTCACTGAGATACAGGTATTAATTTTTGATATACTGCTCAAATGAAGAGAATGAACTCGCATGAAAGAGAAAAAGGGATTCTGTTGTCTACCCATGTTTGTGCTCTCAGCATATACAGTGCCCTCTTCCCATTGGTCCCAAGGTCGCAGAAGACTGCAGGTGGAGCGGGAGCGGGCCGGCTCACATGGGCGTCCCGAGGCACCGGCCGGGGGCTTCGGCTGCCTGCCACCTGGCACCTTCTGCAGGGACTGCTGTCCGGCTTCTCGGCTGGTTGCGTGTATTTTGGAAGTCCTTTCTTGTTCAATTGGTGAGCACTACCATGAACAAATGTATACGTAGCCTTCGGGTTCTAAGAAATAAAGAGACCACTCTTTGTTTCTGTTGAGGTGAGCATGAGCATGAGCATGAGCACGATATATACATTCATCTGGTGGGGCAAATTCAAGACTCCAGTGCTCCATTAGCCTACAAACACAAGTTGCCCATTCTCATTTCCAATGAAATCATTCAGCTGGATCCCCTGTCTCTCCCTGTACCCGCCGTCTCTCATTGGGAGTTCGGCCGTAAGACGTGTTCCTTCGAGCCGAACATCACTTGCTGAGTGTTTGAAGTTCTTGCCATGCCAGATGAACCAACCTATACGGAAGGATAGGGTATGTATCAGCCGAAAGCCACTCAAGTTATTGTCCACCTGTGAATGGGGTGGTATAGCAAAAGAAACAGAAATAAGAGGGGAAAAGAAATAAGCCATACGTACCATCTTCGTTTCCAATAAACTGATTAAGGTCTATCCTGCTTTCTCGCCAGCCACCATCTCGGCCCTGGGCTGAAGCGACCAGCACGTGGCCGTCTTCAAGGCGAATATCGTAGCAGGATTCGGCGAAGGACATTTTCGAGAATCTGAGTCGGGGATTGAAATGTATTGTGTTGTTGGGGTGTCTTTGAATTAAAATGGAAGATATGGTAGAAGAGGGATGAACAAAAAAAACACTTGCAGGCATTGGGGCCAGCTTTATATAGCCAGCAACCGCGTCGCTTAATCGATCTACCCACAAATACTCGTCACTTTGTTGATCCCGATCGCCTAGGATCAGCGCAGTGACGAATAATATCCGCCTGCTAGGACTTTGCAGACAGTGATTTCATTTAGCATCACCAGGTTTGGAATATCATCATATCATTGTCGGACACGTGGCCAGTGTGGGTCATTAGGGGAACAGGAGGGGCACGATACATCTAGAAAGTTCTCAGCCAGCCACACACTCTACTCCGTGAAGCATGATCAAATCTACATATGTCATGGTGTGTCGTTTGCGAGAGATCTTGGATCTTACCTACATATACTCCGTAGTTATGCGATTGGACACGATTCCCGTGTCGCGCCGTTCCAAGGAACCCAACTGTGGGGACCGAGGGGTAATTAGTAGGTGAACTTGACCTCTACCCATCATGATAACATCCTGCTCCGCCCTTACAGTCCAGGTCATCTCCGAATCCAGCCTCCCACCCGCCCACCGATCGCTTCCACCTCCACCCTGCGTCTTGCCAACGCCAGCACCGGACCAGCCCTGCATCTTCCTTCAAAGTCGGGCACATGCATCTTGTCCAAGCTTCCACCATAGGTAGGTCTTACGGACCTCCTGGCAGCATTTAGCATGGCAGTATAAACGATAATCGTTCGGCAATATCGTCAGAAAACAGTAACTTTGTGATTAAGCATCCCAGGAAAGTGCGATTATTGGTATTATGCCAGAGGCAACGCTGCCCTGGTCATATCAGTGAACAACCCCGTCCAATATTCTTTAATGGCCAAAGGTGCCTCGAGTCCTCCAGCGGTGTATTTCAGCCTTCTAGATAGGAGCTCTTTGATGGCCGGTATAATATGCAGACCTTGCTTGGGCACTGCTGGGGATTGAGGTTGATAACCTGATTACTGGTATAGCAGTCTACTCGGTGGTATGTATGGAAGTTCCATCGGCTTTTCAGGGGCTTCAAGCTCTGTTTAGAGGAGTCGCAAATAAATGCGCTGGGAGCAGAGACGGCAAAACAGCAACCTGTCGGAGCGGAGGACTGGCAGGCCGGAGAAGCCGCTAGAAGCCTCTAGCCTAAATTAGCTTTATTCCCCGTGCTTATTTTAAAGAGGCTAGTATTATTATATATTACTTTTTTTATTAAAAATTTTATATATAAATTATTTTTTAGCTAAATTTACTTATTAATTTATAATATTATTATTTATTTTATAATATTTTTATTTTATTTTTATAAATAACTTTTTTAACTTTTTTAATAGGTTATAAGCCCTTAATTTTTTTAAAATTTTATTTATAAATACTATATATTTTTATTTACTTTATATTTAAAAATTTATATATAATTAATTAAAATAGTAACGCTAAAAGCCCTAAAATTTTAATTAATTAATCTTAATTAATATTTATAAAAAACTTTACTTTTAATATATTAAAAGGCTTTATAATACCTAATATAACTTTTATACTTATTATAAAAATAATATTTACTTTTATTATTATAATAAATTAAGTAATAAATTTATTAAAAAAAGCCTTTATATTTAACGCGGTAAATAAAAAACTAAAAAGTAAAAAAAATTATAATATATAAACCTAGTTAATAGGCCTAAAACTAAACTTATATAATTTTAAGGTATTTATTAAAAAAAATATTTTATATTTAATATTAATATTAATATTATACTAAAAATAGGTAACTATATTAAAAAAAGTTTAGATATAGCTTATAAAAAGTTTAATAAATAATATTATATAAATAATATATATAAATTTAAAAAAAATATTATATATAAATAAGTTTTACGCTAAAATTAACTAGGTTTTTAATAAAAATAAATATATAATAGCTTATATAATTTAAAAAAAAGCTATTATTATTAACTAGGCTAGCTATAATATAGTTTAAAAGTTTATTAAAATACTTTATAAAAAGTATAAATTTAGTAATAAATTTAATATAATTATTACTTTATATTACTAATTTTTTTTTATTTTTAAAAAAACTGCGGGCAAAAATGCCTTTATATTATAAAATAAAATATATTTTAATACCTGCAAGTATTATTAAAAAAATAATTATAGTATAATTTTAAAAGGTTTATTATAAAGTTTTAAATAAAGTAAAGGTTAAAACCTTTATTTAAGTAATAGTACTAAAAAATAATAATAATAATAGTAATAAAAATAGAAATAGGGACAAAAATAATAGTTTTAAATTTAAAAATAATAAATAAAATGTACCTTGTTAAGGCGCTTTAAAAAAAGGGGGGTTTAATAAGTAATAGGTAAAAAAAATTAGCTTTAAAAAAATTAATAAAAAATATATATAATTATTACGGTAAAAAACCTTATAATTTTTTAAAATATTATTATTTAGTACTAAAAAAATAATTATTAAGCTAGTAGTTATTAGGCAAGATTTAGTGCTTTAAGTTTATTAAGTTAATAAATTTAAATAATATTAAAAATAATAATAACAGCAAGCCCAGCACCACCATAATTTCTTAATAAACTTAAAGTAAATATAGTATAAACTTTAGTATATATAGCGCTATGCTTTTTATTATATTAATAATATTAAAATTTTATAGTTAATAACTTGTAAATACTAGCTTTAAAATTCCTGTATATAATAATAAAAACCTTATAAAAAATCTTTATATTATTTAACTTTTTTAACACATATTTATTATATTAAATAATAAAAAAGTAATTTTTAAAGGGAAAGGTAAAGTTAACCTACGTGTTTAGTTAAATAATAGTAAGATATTAATATTATAATTTAATTACCTATAATTTTTTAAATTATTATGTAATATTTTACTAGTAAAAAAAATTAAAATAAACTTAGGCCTTTAATATAATAGTAAATTATTAAGAATTTATGAAATAAAAAATAATAAGATTATTTTTAAGGTTTATATTAATAAAGACATGCCTTGGCTAAGTAAACTAAATATTAATAAGAAAACAAGCTTTAATATAGCTTTAGTTTTAATAAAAGTTTAGTATAGGTAATTAGGCTATATATTAATATTATAATTTAATAAAAATCATGCGTAGTTAAATAATAATAATAAAAAAAATAAATATTAAGATAATAAAATAATTATAAATTGCAAAATTTATAAGCTAGCAAAGTTAAAAAAAGAGGTTTTTAAAACTTTTTAATAGCAAGCTATAAAGCCTTTATAAATAATACATGTTAATATTTAAATAGTAAAGCCTTAAGGTATACAGGGATATAACTATACTTTATTAATATTTAATTATTTTTACTAGTTTTTACGCTAAAAAAATAAGATATTAAATATACTTATTTATATATATTTATAATAGCTTAATATAAGCAAAGTATATATTATAAAAATAAAAAGTAATAATACTAGGGATTTTAATAATTATAAGGCCTAGTGCTACTAAAATTAAATTAGTATTAAATTTAAAAAAACTTTAAGTTATATACCTAAGAAAAATAAAAAAATTAAGTAATTTAGTAAATATATTATATAAATTACTTATAGTATAATAATAAATATAAAGTTATAAAAAAAATTATAGCTATTAGTGGTTAAATTTATATTATATATTTAAAATTATTTTATTTAAAAAGGTAAAACAAAGCTATTAGTAAAAAAATTTATAAAAGGCCTAAAAATACTAGTACTAAATAATAATTTATTAAAGTATTTATAAATTTTTAAATATAATGCCTATGTTTATATCCCTATGGAAATAAAAATAAAAGCTTTAAAAATAATACCTAAAGTAAAAAAAAAACTTGTAAAATATAAGGGATTTTATATTTATAAAATATACTTTTTAAAGTTTAAAAAGATTATTAAATTAAAAAATATTATATTTAAAAAAAAATAATAGTAAAGCGCCTTTACTTACTTTACTATATTTATTAATTAATCCTAATAATAAAGGCCCTGGCAGTTTAATTAGTTTTAATAAGTAATTTAAAATATAAAATTTTAATAATAATAATTTATAAGTAGTTAATAAAAGCAAAAAAATTATTATAATTAAAAGGGTCTAAATCTTATTTTTAAATCTAGCGCTTCCAGCCCCAAAATCTATAAAATTTATATTAATAAAAAAAGGAGAATTACTAAGCTATAAGGCTTAACTAATATATTAATTAAGGCCATGTGCTTAGGTATTTATTTAGTAAATATTAAAAAAAAAGCGCCTTTAATAACTAAGTTAGTATTAATTATAGTTATATAAAAGAAAGTTAAACAAGTACTAGAAAAAGAAAATACTTTTAGTATAGATTTTATATAACTATTTAAAGAACTAATAGTTAAAAAAATAAAAAAAAATATAAAAAAAAATATAAAAAAAAGATAAAAAAAATGCAAGCAAGTAAATTACTAACTTTATTTATTTTTAATAACATGCTAGTATTCTTGCTGTGTAAAAAATAGGAAATATAGGTATAAAAAATATTATAATTAATTAAAAAAAATAAAGTAGTTTTAAAGCAAGAAGCTCTAGAAAACTTACCACTTTTAAAAATTAATAAAAAAATATATATAGCCGTGGCTTAATACTTTAAGGCTAAGATATAATATTATAAAAGTAAAAAAAAAGAAAAAAAATGCTTTTAATTTATAATAAAAAATTTGGGGCTAATTTTACTTAGTAAAAAAATTAATAAAAAATAATTTAAATTAATATACTTTGTAAATAAGCAAGCAAAGTAATTAAAATAAAAATAAAAATATTAAAATACTAAAAAAATAAAGTTAAAATTACTTAATTTATTAGCCTTACTTACACTACTAATTTTAAATAGTGTTTATTCTTTTAAGACCTATAAAATATTAATTTTAAATAATTATAAAAAGATAATAAAATCTTTTTAAAAAAAGTACTAGATTAAAGTAATAAATAAGTAAAATATTAAACTTAAGAATATTTTTATATAAAGATTAGTGCCTTAATTAATAGCTATTTAAAAAAAAAAGAAAATTATACTCGAAAAATAGGTTTTTAATACTAAAAAAAATAAAAAAAAATAATATTAAAAAGTTTTGTGCTTGCTAGGTTGCATGCAATAACTTTTAGGTTAAAAATAATAGCCTAAAAATATATACTTTAGTTATTATTAACATACTAGTAAAAATTTATTTTATAGTTATTTATAAAAAAAATTATTACTATATTTAATTTAATATAATAATTACTTATTTTAACTTTATAATAAAGCAAAAAAAGGTTTTTATAAAGTAACTTATAAGTTTAAAAAAAAAATCTTGTTTACCTACTCCTCCGCGCCTTGTATAAATTAAAAAAAGTAATATACTTTTAAAATAAAATATTTATAAATATATTAAAAAGTATAGGCCTTTAAAGTATTAAAAAAAATTATATTTTTTTTATTATACTTATAAGGGTAGTATTATAATTATTTATATAAATAATACCTTAGTGGCGGTACTTATAAAAAAAAATTTATAAAAAGTTTTTAAAAAAGTTAGCCAAGCACTTTAAACTTAAGATTTTTAAAAAATTAAAATAGTTTTTAAAATATAATATTAATTTTATAAAAAAAAGGGATACTTATTTTTTAAAAAATATATATTTAAAAGATTTTAAATTAATTAAACTTTAATAAATTAAACAGGTAAAGAATTTTAATAAATTTAAATTAAAAATACTTAATAAAGGCGGCCGTTGCTATATTTAAATTATTATAAAAAAAATATCCTAAAGTATTAATAATTAATAAAAAAATTTAACTAAATATTTAAAAAAATAAGGCTAAACATTAAATATACCATGGTAAAATTACTAAGGTATACTTTAAATTTTTAAAATACTAACTTTGCCATGGTTAAGTATATATTTTAATACTTTAAAAAGTACTAGAATCTTAATATTTTTTTAAATATAAATTATAAAGTACTAGTTAAATATATAAATAATTTTTATATTAACTATAAGAAAAAAAAATTAATAAAAGTATATATATTTTATTTTTATAGTATATTTATTTTTTAAAAATTTATAAGGTAATTAATTATAGCTAAAAGTTTAACTTTAGTAAAATTTATTATATTTAATATAATAATAAAAAAAGTAATTTAGCTTAAAAAGTTATATATAGCTTTAAGGTTTAATATTAAAAAATTTATAATAATTTATATAAATTTAATAAATATAATTATTAAGTTAGGGAAACCGGGATATACTCCAGGAATTAAATAAATAAATATTTATTACTTTTTAGTAAAAAATCTTATTATTAAAAACCTTATAAAGTTTAAAAAAATTAATAAAATTAAAAACCTAGTAAATAGCCTAATAAAAACACTAAATAAAATAAAGTTTTAAAATTTTATTAAAATATTAAAATTAATAATAATAAATTTAGTATAAAAAATTAAAATTTTAGCTACCTAACTATTATATTTTTATAATTTTTATATTTTTATAAGTTTTATATAACTTTAGCATGTTAATACTAGGGGGCTATATTAAAGTAAAAAATTAATAAGCTAAAAAAGTTATTAAAAGTTTTTAACTTAAATTAGCTTTATTCCCCGTGCTTATTTTAAAAAGGCTAGTATTATTATATATTATTTTTTTTATTAAAAATTTTATATATAAATTATTTTTTAGCTAAATTTACTTATTAGTTTATAATATTATTATTTATCTTGCGATATTTTTATTTTATCTCCATAAGTAGCTCCTCTGGCCTCTCTAACACAACCTCCTCCCCGTCCGTGGCTAGAGATCCTCATGCCGCGCTTCGGACGCGAGGCGGTGCTGCAACTCCTGCCTACGCTCTTGCACTCCCTCAAGGCTTCGCCCTCCAGCCACATCACCCAGGCCACGGTGCGGATAATACAACCGATCATACAACCCCAATTCCTCCATCTTCATGCAAACCCCCCACCTCACACCCCCAGGTACAGAAACCGGCTCATCACCCCAATGCAGCACATCTCGAAGCCCATTCCCCCCGCGCCGCGGATACATCTCCCCATGCAGCGCCAGTATCCCATCCCGCGCAAAGCCGCTATACAGATCAATCGTATCCCGAGCCTGGTCGTAATAGTTTGCCTCACCCAGAACATCCCCACTGATATTCGCGTAGTCCGCAGACCCAAAGAGGATAGGCAGCTCGGCGGCGTGGCACGCGCGCCCGCTCCCCTCGCCGCAGATCGAGCCGGACAGGAATCGCGGCAGCCCGATGTCCCAGGATACCTCCCACACGTCGGGGCTATACCTCTCCAAAGCTCCGGCGTAGATCTCGCTGCTGCAGCGGTATGTGATGTCGGTCGTGAATTGCACTAGCGCGTCTGTCACGTCCGGGGCGTTGACGAGGTTGCGGCTGAAGCCCAGGCTGGGTGTGCTCAGGACTTTCTCGGTGCGTTCTTCGCCGAGGAGGAAGGTGGAGAGGAACCGTACGGCTGTGGTATAACTGATTGGAGGCGCGTCTTTGAGTGTCTTGTTGGTCTGCAAGACAAGCCCGAACTCGTCTTTCGTGTACGTGACCAGCGTAGGTACCCTGTTATACCTGCCACCCGCCAGCGCGGTACCCCAGTCCTCTTCAATGAGGTCACCGTCTATAACAGCGCGGAAGGGCTCGAGGGGGTTTACCTGCCCGTGTGGGAAGACGTCTTGGGCCTGCGAGAGCAGGCGAGACTGGAACAGCAGGATCTCCGACGTTGTGCGGTTGTATTTGATGCAGTGCAGGTCCTTGCAGTCGGCTATATCTAGAAACATCCGCACGAGCCTTTCCTGGACATCAGGCCGTTGCCACCCAGAGTACGTGGCGCTGCCGGACTGGATGATTGCGCGGGAGAAGAGGTCCGTTGCAAACGATGTCTGGAAGAGGGACATCACGGCGCTGCCGCCGGAGGACTCGCCGAAGATCGTCACCTTGTCGGGGTCCCCGCCGTAGGACCTGATGTTGTCTCGAACCCACTCCAGTGCGAGGACCTGGTCGCGCATGGCTTGGTTGCTGCCGATTTCTGGTGACCCGTCGGGGTCATCGAGGAAGCCCAGGATACCGAGACGGTAGTTGAACGAGACGACAACTGTCCGGCCACGCGATGCAACGTTCATCCCGAGATAGAAAGGGAGCGAGGAGCCGCCGTAGTAGTTTGAGCCACCGTGGATCCAGACCAGGACGGGTAACAAGCCAGAATCTGAGGGGCTTTGCATTGGGACTAGCGGGGTGTAGACGTTGAGATACAGACAGTCCTCCGATATCGCATAGTCGGGATGGGGAAGGTCTGGTGTAGCGTTTGGCGCCATCTCTTGCTATTAGGCTCCAGGTCAGCGTCCCATACAACCTGCAAATACTAGAGTCTGTCCGCCAGAGTGTACCAGATAAGACATACCGGACAAAGCGGCTTAAACGCCGTTGCATCATACACAGATTCCTCTGCCCTCTGCGTGCTGGGCAACATGTCCATTCTTTCCGGATTCATCAGCCGACGCTCACCCACCGGAGGCTTTGCGTACGGAATACCCTGGAATCGCGCTGTGAGACGGTCTCGGAAGCCGTGGACCCTCCCCTGCGGCGTACTGACGAGGACATGGCAACTTTTAGCCGGCTGTTCGAGACCGGCCTGGTATGGGGCTGTATTCGTGCAGAGGGCTTGGAGGTGTTGGGTGCATAAGGTTCAGTGGTGGAGGTGGAGTTATTGTCCAGATTGTAGGCCACACATTTCCCGTCTTGTCCGTGCAGCCATAGTTTGGACAATATGGAAATCTCTGCATTCTGCGCCAATGCCGAGAGCAACGGCTGGAAAAGTGCTATATCCTCTCCCCTTGCCAGGGTCTCTGCTAGTGCGTCGCATGCCGCAGTTGCTTCCTCCTGAGGCTGTGGTTCCAGCAGCAGCAGATAGCTAGGGCCTGACTCGACGGCAGTGGGTACCTGGAACGCGGAAGAAGAGCCAGTGAGTGGCCATCGCGTTTCTCCAACTCAGAGCTGCACTTACCAAAGTATTTTCCACGAGGACCGCGAAGGCCGGTGAGAGAGCATCTTTGACTTTGACGCGGCCAGCGGAGGGATGACCCCGCGCGAAGTGTAGGTGCCGTGTCAGAAGAGCAGCGAAGAGAAAGGACTTCATTACACCGGGTTGGGTGATAGATTGTGAATGTTCTAAATAGGTTCCACCGGTGCAGGCGGGTTTATCACTCCAACTTTACTGACTGTGAGCCTGAACTACCACGGAGAATCACTCCGCAGTGACAGCATCGGAGAGTTCCAAGGAAATCGATGAATGTGGGATGGCCTCGTCAGCCAAGGGAGATCACAATGTAGTGTAACTACAAGTATTTGGAAGCGCAGAGTGTGTGGTTACATTGGACAGCCTGGAGGAAATTGGCGCAGTAACACGTTCGGCCGGAGAGGTATAGAAACCAATTGCAGAGTTTCTGTTACGTCAAGAGCCAAGAGTCCGGAGTGACTGGGTTTGTTGACGCTGCCTTGTAGTTGCTTTTTATCTTTTGCCCCCTCTCCGAGTATCCCACCGAGGTGGATGTTTAGCCCAGACCAGTTCAGCGTTGGCCTTCCCGCCTGGAGTTTTCCTCTATTGGCAGAGAGGTATTTGGGGGAGTAGGAACAATTGAGGAGTTACATCCGGCAGAGATATATGGTTTATGCAGAGGAGAGCTGGAGCGTCTAGCTCTCTCTGGGCATTGGTCCTTCAATGCCTGCCGGCGTAAGCTGTTCCACCGGTGCGTGGGGTTGGAAGGTCGTACGGTTGGCTGCATTCCACGTAACTTGGGCAATGGATCACTGCGTAACAGAATGTTTGATCATCGATTGTTCGTCAGCGTGCATTGGAAGCATTGCCAAGAGTTGTGATAGTGGCTGCATGAATGTGAAGGGGCCTGAGATGTGCCTTGCAATCAAGGTTTCCATATGTATGTTTGCAGGGCTGGGGTCGATCGATTAGTATGGTAGTAAACAAGACTGCTGCGTGACCATGGACTCACAAGGTGGTTACATAAAGCAAGAAAAGAGAAAGCAGGAGATGCATGCCTGGAGGATATCAGAAGGTTCAAAGCACGCCCGACTTGTTTACCGAATTGAATCTTCAGTGTCTTACCGACCAACCTAAATACAGTCTAATCATGAGGTTTAGCAGACAGCAAGAATTTCACTTCTATGCAGTCATCCTCAGCTCGAACCCCTGCAGCATAAACCAAGTCGCTTGCATGTACACGTACCCGGGTTTGCCTATTGGACATGCCCCATACAGTTCTTTTTCTAGGCATCAGCATGACCTCCGCGGAGTATAGACTACCAGAGCTCGACGGTGCATGGAGGGCGCGAGAACAAAGTACCTACTCATCAGCAGTATAAGTAGAGCTGTCCCACAAGCTGGACAGGTCAACTACAAATTTCCATACCCACGTCCTTCAACACTCACTCCATCACATCAAAATGACCATCCAGCACGAGCCCGAAACCTTCCTCTTCACCTCTGAATCCGTCGGTGAAGGCCACCCGGACAAGATCTGCGACCAGATCGCGGACGCGATCCTCGACGAGTGCCTGCGGCATGACCCGCTGAGCAAGGTCGCCATCGAGGTTGCCGTCCGTCCTGGGCTGGTCATTGTCTTTGGCGTTGTAGACTCGCTTGCCTGTTTGGACGTGGATGGTATTGTCCGCGAGGTGCTGCGGGACATCGGGTATGATAGTCCGGACCAGGAGCTGGATTATCGGACGTGCGATGTTATGGATTACGTGGAGGTGAGAAGCGTAAAGAAATTGCCCAATAGCAATGGCAATGGAAATGGAAATGGAGCCCTAGTCTCGGGCTCGTTTCCCAGTCGAGCTGAGAAGGAGGTTGCGGGGGATCAGGTGAGTACCTTACTACATGTACACCTTTATGTATCCGGTTTACGAGGATTATGCCCCGCTGATGTCTGTCTCTCTGAATGCAGGGTATGGTCTTCGGATACGCCACGGACGAAACACCCCAGTTACTGTGAGATGCCATCTCCTGCATGATAACAACCCCAACTAACAACGTTCCTTTCCCACAAGGCCCCTAACAATCGACCTGGCCCACCGCATCTCCCGCGCCCTCAAAGCCGCCTGTATCGAGGGTACACTCCCCTGGCTGCGCCCGGATACCAAAGTCCAGGTGACGGCCGAGTACAAGCAAGAGGGCGGACACATCGCGCCGCTTAGGGTTCACACCGTCGTCGTTACGGCGCAGCATACGCCCGACGTAACTGTCGACGAGCTCCGCGGCGCGATTCGAGAGATGGTGGTGCTCAAGTCGATTCCGGCGATGTACCTCGATGCCAGGACCGTTTACCATGTACGCCTCCTCCCCCTTCTCAACATACAGCCAGGTAAAGACCACCTACTGAGATGCACGCCAGATCCAACCCACCGGCGACGTCGGCGTCACACCCTCAGGCAAATTCGCCGGCGTAACGGGGCGCAAGATCGTCGTTGATACATACGGCGGCTGGGGCGCCCACGGGGGTGGCGCGTTCTCGGGGAAGGATTTCCGCCAGGTATACCCAATTGCCTCAGCTTCCCCTGTCCAGCTTCTACATTTCTAACTCAATGCATGAGCACAGGTCGACCGCTCCGCAGCCTACATGGCCCGCTGGATCGCAAAGTCCCTCGTGCACGCTGGCCTGGCACAGCGCTGTCTCATCCAGCTCTCGTACTCATCAGGCATCGCGGAGCCACTGAGTATATTCATCGACACGTTCGGGACTAGCCAGGTTAGCGTGGAGCGGCTGAAGCAGATTGTGCGGATGAACTTTGATCTGCGGCCTGCGGGAATTGCGATGGAGTTAGGGCTCATGAGCCCGATTTACTATGCGACGGCAAAGAATGGGCATTTTACGAGTGGTCTCTTCCCCTGGGAGAGGGTGAGGGAGTTGGTGCTGTAAGGTCCACTCCACTCCGGCCAGCCTGGTCTAGACATAGGCCTGCTTTATACGGTCTCGTCTGGGATGCTGGGCGTGGATACCATGATTCAAGTAATATTGAACACATTGTATACATCCGGAATAACGACACATGTGTCAATTGCGACCATAGGGGCATATGAATTCAGATATTGTGCAGAAATTCATGAGTCAGAATTAGTGCTGCTGTCGTTGGTTGACCGGTACGGATCTGTTTGGGTTCTGGTCAGATCATCCGCCCTTGGTGTGTATATAGTTAGGTTTTATATGATTACAGATGATTGCCTGTTTGGGGTGGCCAAGCCAGTGCTTGCAACCTGTTTTAATAGCTGCATATGCTGCGTGCGCATTTGCTAGGTACTATATATAATGGTGAAGTAGTAGTAGTAGTGATATTTAACGCCCCGGGGATTGCTAGGCGTACGCCTATTATTCTAAACCTTTCTTAAGGTATAGGGGCGTGCTGCTACTAGATAAGTAGCTTATTTAAATAGTTTATATATAAAAAGACCCTTTATTTTAAAAAATAACTTTTACTAATACTTGTGGGCAAGGTGCTTATCTTTTACTTATTATTTTTATATATAATTATTAGTAGGTATTATTTATTATATATTTAAAATTTTAATTATAATAGGTCGCGGGGACCTGCCTTATTATAAAAAAGTATTTTTATTAAAGCTAGTTATATTAAAAAAGGTATTAAAAATAAAAAAAAAGTATAATAAAATAAAAATAAAATTATTTAATACTAGGCTAAATAATTTTAATAATACTAGGGCGCGGGAAGCCCTAGCAAAAATAAATAAACTTATAAAAGTTTATAATTTTAAATAAAAATATAAAGCCCTTAGGCTTTAACTTATAAAGGTACTTTAAAACCTTAACCTTAATTATTAATAGTATTATAAAATACTAGGGCTATTATAAAAAGCACTATTTAAAATAATAATAAAAAACTAGGTATTTAAGGCTTTTACTTACTTTATAAAAGTAAGTAAGCCTAGTATTTTTATATTAAAAGTATTTATAATATTACTTAAAATTATTATATAAAAACCTAAGTACTAGTTAATAATATAAAACTAGTTATTTTAATACTAGCTTTTATTATATTTTAACCTAATAAGGTTTTAATTTTATAATAAGCTATTATTTATACTAAGTAAATAATTTTATAAAAGTACTTTTTTATTACTTAACCTGGGCTATATAATATATTTATTTATATAAATTATATATTTTATTTATAATAGGTTAAGCCTTTAAAAAGTTAGTATTTAAAAATTATACTTTTATAAAAATAGTTTTATTAACTAGCTTATTAACCTACTTGTTTTTTTTTTAATATTTATATAGCCAGGGGATTATTATAAGTAAATTATATATTAATTTATAAGCTAGTATAATACTTAAAAGGCTTAATTTAAAAATAGTAAGGGCTACCCGCGGGTGTATTAAATTATTAAAATATTATTAATATAAAGCTAGTAGTATAGTACTTTAAAAAACTTTTTAATTATTATTTTTAATTTTTAAAGCACGCCTATAGCTTTAATATTATATATATTAAATTAAGTATTAATTACTAATAGTCCCTATGCTTAAAAATATTATTTATAATATATTATAAAGCTATAGCCTATATAGTAAACCCTTTAGTATATTTATTTAAAGTTATTATTAAAAATTACTATTTTTATTATTAGTAATACTTATTATTATTATTTAAACTTTTTTATGGTTAACTTCTTGGCCTTGCTATTAGTAAAATTTTTTAAATATTTTTAAAAGTAATAAAAGTATATTAAAACTAGTTTAAAAGTTTTTAAAAAAAGCGCCCTTACTATTTACACCTTTATTTTAAATTTTTAGTATAAACTAGCACCTTAACCACGCAAAATTTTTAATAATATTACTTATATTACTAGCAGGTTTTAGTAATTTATTAGTTAAAGTTTTAAGGTAAATTATAATTATACTTTTTTTAATATTATTATAGTAAAAAAAAGCCTAGTATTTTTAAAAAAAGTTATTATAAATATTATTTAAAAAATTAAAAGCATGCCGCGAGCGGCTAAAGCTAGGGTTTTTTTAATTATTTTAATATATTAGCTTAATTAAGTACTAACCTTTAGGTTTTATATATACTTTTTAAGTTTAATTTTATTATTATATTACGCCTTTATATTATATAAAAAATTAAAAATAATATAGGTAATAATTATTTTATAAAAAAAGTTTATTAGTAAACCATGTACTATATATATAAGGTTATAAATATATTATATTATTATATAGGCTTTAGCTACTTATTTAATAATATAATAATATTAAAAAAGGTACTTATTAAAAAAGACTTTTAACTAGTATAATACTAGTTACTTTTAGCCTAGTACCATGGTAACTAAAGTAATTATTAGTTAATTATTAACTATTAATAAAAAAGATTTATTATGCTATTTTTAGGTAATATATAATATTTTTAGTTTTTTAAGTATAAAAACTATTTTATTTTATTTTTTTAGGCTAGCATGCCGCGGATATTTTTTACTAAAAGCTTATAATTTATATAAAAAAAGTTACTTATATAACTTAAATAAAAGTTATTTATATAATTAAAGTGTAAGATTAAATTTACTAGTAATAATTTAGTAATATATAATAAAAATAATATTAAAAAAAGGGGCAAGCCTTATAATATACTATAGTATATTAAGTATATTATTATTATAATAAATTTTAGGCGTACTTTTATACTTTATTTATTAAAAAAAACTTATAATTAAAGCTAAGAGCGCACAGGGCTAGCCTTGCTTTATTATTTATTAAAATAGGTATTATAATAAAATAGTATTAAAGGTACCTAGGATATTTATAGTAATTATAATAATTTTTTAATTTTATAAAATTATTATTTTTATATTATAAGTAAAAAAGGCTACTAAGTTTATAGCTAAGCGCTTAAGCAAAGTACTATATTATTATAAGCTTAATACTTTTTATATTAGCATGGTAAAAGCCACGCGGCATGCTATAATTTATTTAAGTTTTTTTTTTAATATTAAAAGTAGCGCTATAGGGTGCTAGGATTAAGGTAAAAACTTATTTTTTTTATTATTTTTAAAAAATATTACTACCTTTATAAGCTTTTATAATAAAAAAAAGTATTTTAATTATAAATATTAATTATATAACCTATATATAGCCTGTTTAATATATTTTTAGCAAGCCTTTAAAATATAAATAATTACTTAATTTATTTTAAAAAAGGCGCTACTTATATTAATAATATTTTTTTAACCTTTTTTAGTAAGATTTTTTTAATTAATAAAGGTGCTTATTTTTTTACTAGTGCTCTAGTGCCAGAAAATTAAAATTTAAATTATTATTTATATTAAAATACTTCAATATTATTTTTTATAAAATATTAGCCTTTTCCCGTGTGTTTTTAATTATTTTATTATTTATTAATAATAAAGGAGCCTTAAGCCTAGGCTTTAGCTTATACTATATTATTATTTAGTATAATTTTTAATTATTTTTAATACTATTAATTATTTTAGTTTAGTATACATATTTAATTTTATGGATTATAACTAAAAACTACTTTTTTATTTTAAGGTAGGGTTTACTACCTAGGCTTAGTAATCCTTTATATATTTAATTAATTATTAAGGGGCGCTATAGCTCCCTAAATTAAAATATTTATTAATTACTTATATAGCTTCCGCGATAATATTACTAAGGGATTTAATATATTAATTTAATATTTTTATATCCTAAAGTTTCCCAGGCTAAAAAAAATATTATTTTATTTTTTATAAGCTTAGCTAGGTGCTTAAGGTTATAATTTAGTATATTATTTTAATATTATTTTAATATTTTTTCCCGCGCCCTAGCACTATAATAATAATTAAAGTTTAATAATTAAAGCTATTATATAACTTAGGTATTATTAACATGTAAGTAAATAAAATATTAAAAAAAATTAAGTTAAAAATATAACTAGCTTTATACATGGCCACGCCTGGCTTATTAATATAATTAATATTATTATTACTAGCCTACCTAATAATCTTACTATTATAATATAAGTTATTTACTTTAGGCTTAAAAATATTATATATAATATTAAAATCCCTACTTATTATATAGTTTAGGGTAGGGATTAATATAACTAGGTAATTAATTATTTTATAAGTAATTAATTTTTAATATATATTTAAAACCTTAATATTATTTATTATAAGTTAAAATATGTTCTAACTTTATACTAGGTAATATTATTTAATATATAATACTTTTTTTATAAATATAAGTAAGTACTTTAAGGCGCTTTTTTAACTAGTTCTTATAATTATTTTAAATATTTATTAACGCGTAGTACTTATATATTAGGTAATTTTAGGTTTTTATACCTATAATTATTTAAGGCTTTTAAATATAAGTAATATTATAGCCTTGCTTATAAGCTAGTTATAAAATTATAATATAATTAAGTATAAATTTACTTATATTTACCTAATAAATAGTAAAATCTTATTATTATTAAGTATTATTATAATAGTGGTTACCGCGGTGCCTTTTTTAATATTTTATTATTAAAGCTTAAAAAAGGTTTTAATATTAACCTTTATTACCTAGGGTAAAACAAGTATACCCGTGTTAGCTAAGGCAGGTTAAATTAATTTAATAAAAAATTATTTAAAGTTTTAATTACTAGTAAAAGTATTAAATTATAAAATATAATAATTAATAATTATTATAAAGCCTTATTTATTTACTTTTAGTTTTTTTATAGCATGCTTTTAAAAAATTTTTAAAATAAAAATTACTTTATTTTAGCCTAAAGCTAGGTATGAATATTAATTTAAGTATATATATTTTAATACTAGTAAGTATTATAGTAGTATATACTATTAAGTTTTTTTTTTAAATAAGTAAACTAGGGTTTTGTTCTTACGCCTAGGGGCTATTAAATAATTATTATATTTTATTAACTAGGGGCTTAAGTAATTTATATAATATATAAAATTTTTATAGTTTAGGTTAATAAAACCTAGGTAGTTTATTATTATTATATTATATTATATATAATATATTACTTGGTTATATTACGCTAGGTAATAGTATTTTTAATAATTAAAGTTAAACCAAAAAACTAGCTAGTATTTTTTAATAAGCTAATAATACTTATTTTAGTTAAATAAAGTAAAGGTCTTAGGCTACTTTAAGAAAATATTATTTAAGTAATATACTTAGTATTAGGGTTAGGCCTATATTTTAAAAAAGTAAGCTTAACTAGCTTTAATTTAGTTTAAGCCATAACCTTATTTTAAATTAACTTAATAATATTTATTTTATTATTATTATATACTAGAATAATACTAAGTACTTTTTATATTATATAATTATATTACTTTTAAAAAATATATATATTAATAGCGCCTAGGGTGCGGTAAATTATATTAATTATTTTATTAATTATAAAAAAATCTTAATAAAAAGGTTATTAGGGATAATAACCAAGCCTATATAAGTAATATTAATTTTAAAAATAATTATTATTATAATTAGTCCTAGTATATATTTAATAAAGGCTTGCTAAATAATATATACCTTAAAATATATTATTAACTTATTATTAAAAAGGGTAATTAATATTTTATAATTATTTTATATAATTAAGGCTATAATAAAGCTATTACATGTTAATTAGGCTACTAAGGTGCCTAATAAAAATACCTTATTTAAAGTAATATTAGTTAAGGTAAAAAAACTTGCTTTAAAAGGGGTAGGTTAAGCCCTTAAATTTTTAAAAATTAAACTTATTTTTTTTAGGTAATAGTCTTGCCGGAGGTTATTATAATAATAAGTTAATTATATATATATAAAAAAATAAAATTAATATTATTAATATTAGCATAGCCCTTTAAAAAAATAAAGTATATAAACTTATTATAAATATTATAAATAAAGGCTTTTTAATTTTAAGTTTTTTACTTAGTTATAAAGCTATTAATAATAATTATAAAGCTTATAAAAACCTTATACTTAATATATACTTAATACTTTTATTTATTAAGTTAATTATAAAGGGCCTTTATAGCTAGGCTATATTAAAAAGTTAATATATTATTATTTTTAATAATAAAAAAAAATAGGCTTGCTAGGGCCCTTTTTTTATTTTTTTATAATATAAAAATTAAAAAAAAATAGGAAATTTTATAATTAAGTAAAGTTAATTAAATTAAGGCCTATAAATTAATTAAAAATACATGCTTTTATTTTAGTTATTACACCGCGGGGAGTAGTAAAAAGGGAAAAAAAAGTTAAAAATAAAATTAAAATAGTAAAAATATATATTTATAAGACTTTTAAAGCGCCTGGAGCCCTTATTTAAAGGTACCCCTAGATTACTAAGAGTTATAAAGGTGATGTATACAATGGTGAAGGCAGTGTGATGGGTTGATTAAAAGTTCTATTGCCTATATCTAACTTGCCAATATCGTGTACAGTGTAGACCTGCTGTTATTTATCCCTTGATAGTCAAGAAAGCAGGAAATGCAGCTCACTGCGGCAACCATTTATATTAAAACAAACAAGAAGATCAAGATCAGGCAGTGCCGGTACAGCAGTGGCCATTGGCACGAGAAAGAACGATCTGCCCACGGCCAGCACCGGCCATCCAAAACTGAATAAGCCAATCCCGAACCTACATCGAGGGCATGATATCAACAGTGCCGTGGCCCGTAAAATCACCAGAGACCTCAACGTATCCAGAGAAAAATCCAACAGTAGAGTCATCCAGGACATATTCCTGATCCTGGAGCTGACTTTTGACAATAATATGCGAGCCATCCATCAATGTAATATTATACTGCAGTGCGTATAAGTTTCCGGTGGCCTTGGAGTGGAAGATGTCCGTCTTGGAAGGCTGGAAGTTTAAAAGCGGGAGCACCGTGCTAACACCAGCCTGGTTCTGAATAGTCGCGAAGGATTTGTTGCCGTTGATGTCGTCTACCCAGTGCCAGATGGAGACGTAACTCTCTATTCCATCTTTTGCACTGGTTAGGTAGAATCCAAACCAGGTGAAGCGGTCGGGCATGGTAGGCCCCCATTGCCGATCATACCAGGTTACAGACTTGTCGGAGTCGATGGAAAGCGTGGTATTGTCGACGATGATAGTGCCGCGGGGTCGGGAAGCTGGTAGTGAGACCTGATGCTGGATACCGCCGGCCCAGCGCCACGAACCCAGGCCTGCGTTCAGCAACACGGGGGCTTTGAATTCGAGGTCGATGTCGAATTCTGTTCCGGGAAGATGGCTGAATATCCTCATCGGGGGCAATGCCTCTGGGGAAGAAGCGGCGTGGTGATGCAAGGTCTCGAGGCCAAACTGTCCGCCGGGCATGGTCAGGTTGAACGGGTCGAGAGTGCCATTCTTCTCCCTGACAAGGCCAATATCCTGATAATGTTTGGTGTACAAGGAGGAAGGATCATCGAGCGAGAGGATACCGGCGCGTTGGGTGGCGCTGCCGTTGCGGATAATCGCATTTGCACTGACGAAGAAGGTGCGGTTGTCGGTGGTGCGAATGTAGTTGACTGCCCAGAAGGAATCAAAAGCGTGGTCGGCTTCCACCAGATTTACGTCCGATATGTCATAGAAGACAGGCAGACCTTTCTGTATGAGCGGTCAGGAGGGCAATGAGGGTTGAGAAGGTGCTACAATGGCGGCCTAGCTTACAATGGCAGCAGTTGTGGAATCAAAGACCTGGGCGGGCGAGCCTCGGTCCAAGCCCTTAGCTGCACCAAGGGATGAGAGCAAGGCAACGGGGACGAGGCAGACAGCGGGGCGCATTGTGACAAAGGCGTGGAGAGTTAAGCCAGCTTCCCTCAAGTATAGCTGCATGCTAGCAGAGCATTTATACTAGTGATGCGAGCTTGATTGCAAATCCTCCTACTGCAGTCCTTGGGAGTTTCAGTCCGCAGGAGCGGGAGCTGTAGATTCCGGCCAGCGTGGGGTACCAGCATGTCATTGCTGGATGCTTCCGGTGGTCATGGAGCAGAGATCCGAGTGCCGCTTACTCAGAAAGATTCCGTGACAGAGTGGAACTTGGGTCGTGCTGCTTGGTCTCTGATGTTATACAGATTGACCATGCCAAGCCTAGTGCGCCCCACGTTCCCAGCGGCCTGGAACAGCCGGAATGCCGGGAGTCTTGCAGGTGGACCCGGCCCGGATCCGCTGTTTGCACTGTTTCCATTGTTTGCTTGCCAAGAGCTCCACCATCCACGGAGATTACGGGCGCCCTAGTCCCTATGTCCGTGTGGATTCAGTCTGTGATTGTTGGACGAGAGGTGGAGATCCCTTGGATCTCCGCGGCAAACTTAGTTAGATAACTTTAACTAACCTCTAAAAATAAAAAAAAAATTAACCTTTAACTTTAGCTAGATCTCACGGCCTAATTAAAAAATAAAATATAAAAAAAAAAAAAATAAATATAGCTTAAATTCTCCTGTATTTAGCTATTAAACTTTTATATTTTTATTTATTTTAAATTTTAAAAAATCTTATATTTTATTTACCTTTTAATTCTTATCCTAATTTTATATAATTAATTTTTACCTAAAATATTTATAACTTTAAAAGTTATAAACCCGGCTTATACTTTACTTTTTTAAATATTATTTATATAATTATTTTTAAAGCTATTTACTACCTAAATTTAAACTTTTAAAGTTTTTTTTATTTATTATATAATACACTATAAAAAACCTTTAATTTTTACCTATAAATACTTAGTTTAATATTATTACCTTAAATAGCCCTAATACATGGCGCTTATAATATTAAATTATTAAATTAATAGCTATAGGCCTTATAATATAAAATTATATTAATTTTTTAGTTAATAATAAAAACTTATTACTTATTTTTATTAGCCCAAGGCTAATTCTTAAAAATTACTACTTTAATATTTTTAAGAAAGGTAAACTTTAAATAAGTTATTTAATAGCTAATAAACAAGGTAGATTTTATATTATTATAAAAAAATATTTTACTTAAAAAAAAATATAAAGCTTTACTAGGTATAATAATAACTTATATAACCTTAATTATATTTAGCTTTTACTAGTAACTTTTATATAGCTAAAAATATTTATATATAATACTTTAACTTTTTATAAAATAATATATATAATTTAATATTACCCGCTAAATAAAAATTAAGGTAAAATAAAAAAAGGTAGTTATTTATTAAGGCCTTTTTATTAAAAAATAAATTAATAATTAGTGCAACCGCTGGGTTAGTATATTTACTAAAGCTAAAAAGTTTAATATTTTTATTAATAATTAAGATACTAACATGCTTTAAAACTTTATATACACTATTATAATTATTAATAAAAAGTTTAGTTAAAGGCTTTACATGGCCATTTTTTTTTAAAAAAAAAAAAACTTTACTAATATTATTAAAAAGTTTAAAGTATTTTATATGCTTT